TCAGTACCAACTTTTCCCCTTTCTAACTAAATCTTTCTGCAATTACTATTTTAAACTGATTTTTTGTAAACTATTATTATCCAACTACAAGACATTTTATTGACGTTAGACATAAAAATTTAATAATTTTTTGACTTAATAATAGCATATCAAAACTGACACAAAATTGATTCGTAAATTTAATTTAATTAATAGCGGTCGCTGAAAAAAATTAACTGCCAAAGTTAATATTAAAATTGAAAATTAAACGATGTTTTCAGACGGATTAATAAAACTGTTATGTGACAGCTTTATTACCAACAATGGGCTTTGTAACAGGCTGCTGTGAACTTTTATTACTTATTATTAATATTATAAATAACTCGTAAAAAATACAGTTTCACATAATTGATTAACATAAAGTTGTTAAATGAATAAAATTATAATTAAAGGAGAAAAATTGCTTAAAGAACTTAAGAATTGCCAATTTTAGAACTCATCAAAGGAAACACTTACTTATGGAAATATTATGTACGAGAGCAACCACTGAGACTGAATAAGATCTTTTGTGAGCTATATTCGCTTAGTTGTAGGGAAAAGATAAGGAAATTTGTTTTCATTTAAACTATAACCAAAATTGAACTTCCTAGCATACTTGAACATTGTAAAACCATGTTTGACAGCAAGAAAATAATTTAAAAATACATTACTGCAATTGTTTTCATGAGTTATAACTAAAAATTATTAAATATCTTTGTTGGAATTGTAAATGTTAAATAACTAGTACGATATGATTCGTCCGAACAAATGTATTTCTTGCAGGAATTCAGACACGGCCATTTTATTAAAGAAATGTAAAAATGAGAAAGTCATTCGGTTTAAAATAAACATGAGCTTTTTATTAAAGTTTTGACAAAGAATTTCTTTCTATATAAAACCATACAAATAAGTACATTATTTGAGTAATATTTTTTTAAAACGTGTCGTGTTTTTGACATTATAACCTTGTCACGCCGCGCCTTTTAGAATAGTTACATTTTTTTTTTCTATACTCCGGCTTAATTAATGATTATATATCAAAATAGACAGCTGTCGTTGTCAAATTACTAATCTAAAAATTCAGTTTTCATGTTCATTCTTTCTTATTCATTGTAAACATTTATTATAACACTTATCTGTAACAGAAGAACTACAGTTGTTGCTCAAAACAAAATACTAGAATAGATAGTATCATACATATGTGAACTTAATCATTCAGAAATTTTAAACAGACATCGAACACCTTTGTTAAATATTCATGATATATTTATGTTAAAACAACTGTCACTTGAGTTGTACACAACAGAAAAAACACAATTCCGACGAAATTTAAATAGCGGAGAAGACTTACTCAATAACCAAAAGCTGATGAATATTCATTTATGAATGAAACATTGTTTATTAAAACAGAATCCCTTAAATATATTCAAGACTGATATTGACAATACATAACGAAAAAAACTTTAAAAGTATCGATTATTAATAAATTTTGGTCTAAAATTATTCTGTAACGTTGAAAAAATAAAAGTAATAGCGTCAATAAAATCTCCTCTTGTAGTCTTATTTCGTATATCTGTATCAAATAAACTCTCTGAATGTGTTTTCAATTCCGAGTCTCCAATTCCAATTTGAAACCAAACGAAATTTTATTATTTTCATGTGTACCTAGCACAGAATTTTATATATTTTCACTATTTGTTATTCCCCTAGCAATTAGTGAAGTTTTAACGAAAATATAATATTTGACCGTTTTTTTGTGAGTGTTAAAAAAACTAACAATGTAAATACTCAACCAGAAAAGCAAATGAATGAGTAATGTTTAAAAATGTTTTTTTTCTCTAACATCCATTACTTGAATTCATTGAAGTTGTAACTCTTGGAAGTGCTACATAGTTGAAATTTAACAAAAAAAAGTGCTTTTACTTCATTCACAGTATATGAATAAAGATTTTTGTACGTGTTATGTATAAAGAATGCTTTGGTAGGATACATGTAAAATAAATTTAAACTTTTATACCATTCAACCATTTATTACTTTTTTTTTGCATCGTCTAAGACTCTTTAGCCTACCCATTAGCCTCATTAACGACATGAAAATAATACTTTTTTACAGAAATTAATGATAAGATAATAAATAATTAACATTAATATTACATTGAACATTCCTTTTCCTAGATTTTTTGTATCGCTTTTTATAGTTATCAATTTGTTACAATACCTATCGATTCCACAATAGTCTCGGGACATCATAATACTTATAATGTTTATATCACGGGAGAACAAAAAAACTCGGAAAACCTGTTAAAAAGCTTGCGTGCAAAATGTTTCTTATTATTATATTGGAATAAACAAACATTTCAACCTCATTATTTTTTGAACTACTAGTGAATGAATTAATTCAGGTTGCTTTAACCAGAACATTTACCCACTTTATTAAAAAACTTATCTGTTTTCGACTTTGGTCTACAAATAAAACTTGGGAAGCACTTTCCCTATCACTTCGAAGAGATAAAAGTCTTGCTTTTCTTTGAAAACGTTATTGGTAGTATAAGATCCCGCTGTAAAAGAACTATTTCATTGTGAATCAAACACACATTTTTATATACGTTTATGAATAGAAGAATACACTGATAACTCAGTAAAATGGCCGCTAAATAATGTTCATTAAATTACAGTAAATTGATATATTATTTTAAATAAATTATCATCCACAATATATCTTGACCCCGCGGACTCCGTACCGCCCTATAATCTAGATATATCTGTTACCTTTTTATCTCAATGAAGTTAATTTCTTAATTATGTACAGCTGATTCAATAGGCAATGAACGGTCTGTCTTCTTCTTATATTAGGCCAGTGCAGAAGCCTTTAAAATTAATGAAAAGTAAAAATAAATTATAGTAAAATGAAACTCATTAGAAAAGAAGGGGAATATTATAAAAATTAAAGGAAAAATAATTTACGGGCGATCTGAGATCGGGAAGGGTATGGGGATGGGTATTTAAGGGTAAAACAATGAGTTTTCTCGATTTCCGGCAAAACTAAAAGTCCTACGGAAAAATGTTATATGGCATAGTTGTAGGTAATAAAAAGACTTAAAACTTTTGTACTAACATTTTTTTCACATAACCTCAAAATTTATATGTAAAATTCGAAAAACATTGTTGATCGCAAATGAGGCTGATTTTTGGATATTTATTCAAAATAAGCTGAAAAAATAAATATTTATAATCAAATAAATTACAGTGCATTTGTTACATCAAAAGGAAAGTTTTCACCAAAATTTCGAGACTACATATTGTTTTTTTGTAAGAGATAAAAATAAAAAACCAAAAACTTATTTTTTCGAATTTTACACATAAATATTGAGGTTATGTGAAAAAAGTGTAAACACAAAAGTTTTAGGTTTTTTTATTACCTACAACTTTGCCATATAACATTTTTCCGTAGGACTTTTAGTTTTGCCGGAAATCGAGAAAACCCATTTTTTACCCTTAAATACCCTTCCCGACCTCAGATCGCCCGTAAATTATTTTTCCTTTAATTTTTATATTTCCTTCCTTTTCTAATGAGTTTCATTCTACTATAATTTAATTATATTTTAAAAGCTATTTGCAATGGTCTATATATTATATGTTTAAATTAATACTATAATAGTATAAGTCTTTACTATTTCGATAATCTATCCAGATCTCAACTAATAATATTCAAAAACAGTTTTAAAATGTAACATTTATATTTTTATGTATTTCAAAATCAAGGCCTGCATTTATTAAACTGCTAGCGCCATCTGTTATATTTTTGTGTGAGTTACTTACATGAAATTATAATTTCTTTCGATAGATGTCGCTAGAATATAAGTTTAATTTAATTAAATAAATTAATAAACGCACGCGTAAACGTTAATCATTTGTCATTATTTCTGAACTCATATCAACCATTACTTATAGTATTTGACAGGATTCGGACAACAAATGTTTGACAAATGACAGGTACAACCCGGTCTTCTTTAAAATTCTTTTTTTAGATTTATTCTGTTATTTGGGGCGGAGACTATAATAATTTGTTTAGCCGATCTCGAGTTATAAGTGTTGTGACAAACACGACTTTCTTATATATAGATAACTAATATCAATAACTTTGTTTACAATGAGCTCCAGAACCTAGTTATTAATATATAAGAATAATTCAACTGCACTGTTTTAGTTTATCTCTAAGTGTCGAGGTCAAGTGCCTGTTCAAAAAATCACGTTGCTAAGTTTAGCATAAGACTAAAAACTGATTTTTTTTTTTTAAGTAATTGAAGTTGTAGACATCTTGAACGATTATTAAGTTTAAGAAGTGATTGGCTAAACATTCTCATCTCATGATCATCATGACAGTCCTCATGTTCGTCCAAGTTTGTGAATAAGAGGACCATTCTGGCAGGCGTTAATATATATAGTCACCTCAATTCTATTTTACGGAACAACGAAAAATGTTAGGAATTTTTGCCAATGGTAAAAAATGGATGGGTACGTACCAAAAATAATGTAAACTCATCAGGTACGATTAAAAAAATATGATACTATTAAAATTTACAACAATGTTAAGCTCCCTTTAGTATAAAAAATAATAAGAATGTCTTATTCTATACCCACTAAGGGTTTCGAGAGGACGGCGCTATCGGTTAAGTAAATTGAATAAAAAAATATATATGACAACGTGAAAAATATAGCCAATAAAGATTTTATTTAAAAAATCAATATCTAATATCACTTGTATAAACCATAAATTGAAATGTAAATAGTAATAAACAATATATTCATTATCTATACAGTATAGTGTCCTGATAGTTGTCAATTTTTAAAATATCAGTTTGACGTTTCACTTTGTTGGCAAACTGTTTACACTTAGAAATCTTTTAAGAACCTATAGGTTATAGGTAATCAATTGAACAAAATTCGTTTCTATGGTTTTAACATAAAAGAACATTATAAATATGGCTGGAGATCGTGACAACCACAGGCGCAATAGCTCAGAAGGACATCGAAGCAGAAGTCAAAGTCGAGATCGACGTAATAGTCGTGATCGTGAGAAACGGAATTGTGGTAAGGATAGGTACCGAAGGAAGAGCAGGGATCGACATAGGAATGACCGGGACAGCAGGGAAAGACGGGACAGCAAGGATAGACGGGTCAGTAGGGATAGACACAGAAACAGCAGTAGAGATAAGCGTAAAGCCAGCAGCGAGAGAAGTAGAAGCAGAGATCGAATCAAAGATAAATATAAGAGTCGGGATGGTGGTAGCGGACACACAAGTAGTAGTAGAATGATACATCGAGACAGAGGTCGGAGTTCATACAAAGAATTCAGTGGCGGCGGATTGGGAGGAGGTATGAAACTTAAAGATACTTAAAACATATTATAGCATGTCATGTAAACTCTGTATATAGAGATAACATAAGTTTGTAGTAATAAAAAGTTATTAAACTTTATAATAGAAACATTTAAAATCAGAAGTTAATGCTTTACTAGGTATATATGTATTGTAAGTAGTTTGTTTAAAATAGGCTGCAATTGGAAAAACTAAGTGAATGTTGCTTATGATTTCATTTAAGATATTGAGATTTAAACAAATTGCCTAATATAAAACTTTGTATTTTGACTAATTTATATTGCAGAATGTATTTGAATAATTTATTTTGTAGGTCTCGGCGGGGGAAGCCTTGCACCTCGTAGTCGCTTCAAGCCTCAAGAGGAAGAGTTTCTTGATGCTCGGAGAGAAGAGAGGGAAAGGATCGGAGAAATTGGAGTTTCATCAGTATGGGGGAAATCACCCATAAGAGATGAGTATGTTAATAAACTTCAATATAATATTCAAATTTTTATTAATGATTTTTATTAATGAGTTACATTTTAGTTCAGAGGAAGAACCTCCAGATTTGCCGTCTGAAAATGGCAAAGACAAGAAGAAAAGTAAGAAGTCCAAAGATAAAGACACGAAACAGAAGTTAAAGAAGTTGAAAAAGAAACTCAAAAAGGCAAAAAAGGCTCGAAAAAAAGCAAAAAAGAAATCCAAAAGTTCTAGCAGTGAGAGCTCGAGTAGTGAGGAAGTGTGGGTTGAGAAAGGAAGTAAGGATATAGTTGTTCTTATAATATATAACTTATAATAAAAATCTTTTATAGAAGGATATGTTACATAAATTGTATTAACTGGTTATATCTTATGTAACTGAAAAAACTAAATAGGCTCCAGCATCAAATCACAAGTAATGTTACCAATGAAATCTAATGGAGTAATATATTAAATTCTTGTACTAGGAGCTATATAAATTGCCAGTCACATATTATTTTTTGTTAAATCCAATTTATTTGAAACTTTTATTTCATTAATTATTTCAAATATTTGTAAAATCCTTTTTAAGGTAAAAACAATTCTCTTTCGTAGTTTTATAAATTACATGAATCCTACTAATATTATAATTGCAAAAGTTTGTGAGTGTGTGTGTTTGTTTGTTACTTCTTCACGCTCAAACGGCTGAACCGATTTTGATAAAATTTTGTATACAGGAAGCTGACGTCCGGGAATAACATTTAGGCTACGTTACATCCCGAAAATCCGCGGGTAACACCGCGGGGCGCAGCTAGTTTATTATAAAATGTTGATAAGTCAAGAGATGTAAGTTTAAATGGTATCACAAAATCTTATTTACAGAGGAAGATGAAGTAGCAAACAAATCATCGAAGACAGATGAGTTAGCAACAGAAGCATTCGGTCCGTTGCCTCGAGTGGGTCCAGCATTGGGTCACAAAGACTTCGGGAGAGCTTTACTACCAGGAGAAGGGGCGGCCATGGCTGCTTATGTTGCTGAGGGAAAGAGAATTCCACGGAGAGGAGAGATAGGACTCACCTCTGATGAAATCGCTTCATATGAGGCTGTTGGATACGTTATGAGTGGTAGCAGGTGGGTTCATATAGGATCTATTGTTACAAGTAGAGCCATCTATGATGCACTTATTATATCTTTACAATTATTATTTGTATATATCCTTTTCAAGTTAATTCGTAACGAGGTCGACTGTACATGCTTACTTAATGAGATACACTATCGTATTCCAAGGAGCAATGCTCGCAGTTTTCTAGGTACCTTTGATATTAGAATATCAAAAACTAAATTAGGAAGTAACGCCCCTATGTCTAGATCATCTCGGCTATACATAATACAATATTTTAAGTCAAGATCTAGATATTTTTAATAACTCTGCCATGACATTTCGTAAACGGGCGCTAGAATTATTGAGAGATGCAAATAAATAAATTATAAATGTTTAATAGTTATTTATATTAATTTTAGTTTGTATTGATTTGAATATTTTTAGTGATTTTTATGCATGAATTTAATGAATTATTTAATTTTATTAAGTACTTGTTTGTTTTTTGTGGTTTTTAACTTGTATCAATTTTTACTTATTATTATTTAGATCTTTCTCGCTATAATTATATGTTAATATATTTTTAAAACATTGTAATCGTTGTGGCCACTTTAAAAAGCTACACATGTAACCTATTTCCATTTAATTGTTTTATATTCGGCATTTAAACATGTAGTAGCTGCTAGTGGTCCTTAAAATAAATAAATAAATAAAATAAAATGTGTATGACTAATTATAAATAATCATACTGAAGCAATTTAATTTTGTAATGCCAACATTGAAGTATGAAATTGAATTTCAAACTATAAGTACTGGTTTCAGAGTTCAGTCATTTTGTAGGATGTTACTGGAAGTAACACTGAATATTAATAATCAGGGCTGAAAGTGTACATACCTCGAACAATATATTCTAAACTGTCATAGAGATACCGCTTGTCGCTACAGTTGTTAGAAAAATAAGGAAATAACTCATGGATTTATTTAATAAGAATGTTCATCATTTGACTTAGACATTCACCTCACATCTGTTTCAGAGTCTAACAATTTTGTAACTACGATTAATGGACGAGTAAGATGTATTATCCTACTGATATTATAATTGTGAAAGTTTGTGTGTGTGTGTATGTTTGTTACATCTTCACGCTCATACGGCTGAACCGATTTCGATAAAATTTTGTATACAGGAAGCTGACGTCCAGGAATAACACATAGGCTACTTTACAATCCGGAAATCCGCGAGTAACACCGCGGGGCGCAGCTAGTAATAAACTATATATAGTATTCATATATGTGTTGTTTTATTTGCAGACATCGTCGTATGGAGGCCGTCCGTATCCGTAAAGAGAACCAGATCTACAGCGCGGACGAGAAGCGCGCGCTGGCCGCCTTCAGTAAGGAGGAGCGCTCCAGGAGGGAGGCAGCCATACTGTCGCAGTTCAGGGACGTGCTCAGCGCGCGCGCCCGCGAGTGACGTCACACACACGCACACACAAACACATTGATACTGTTACAATACATATTAACCTCTGTTTGAACTATAAAGTGTAAAGTGACGTCACACACACATGATACTGTGACTTGCCACAGTTGAACTGTTACATACATCGATGGCTCCTATGTATAAGTGCTAATGTACAGAATGACAATTTTACAGTAGAGGCGTTTAATGTTTGGTTTCAATGTATCTTGTACATGCGACAACTGATGCTTTTGAAACTTTGCATAGCAACTATGACATACAAGTACGTCACTTAAGTTTGATAAACTCTTTTGTAAACCTACTAGTTTTTTAAATATATGTATATTTTTTAGAGATGTTCCGAAAGCCGACTATCCGGCCACCATTGTAGTCGGCGACTAATCGACAAAGAGCGCCGACTATCCGGCTTCTTACGTTGTGTGTATTTATCAATAACATGAAATGAAAACCTTGGTTATATATATATTTTTTTTTATTTTATCATCAGTTTTATACATTGAAAAATGTAAAGCAAACTTTCCTTTGGCAAACAGTTTTTAAAATTACTTGCTTGTAAAAAAATCATTATTATGACATTTGTTGAACAAAGTTAGTTCCTATCCTAATTAACATAAAAACAACATAATATCTTCTTATCTACAATGAACAATGAATAAGTATTTCTCATTTAAATAAAAAGTATATTTTTTAAATTAACAAACTCAGTTATATGTATTAAAGCAAGATTGTATGTACAAGATGCACAGTAACATATGTATATATTATATATGTCCAAAAATTCTAAACATGAACTGTTTGATAAAAACAAAAAAAAAGATGATAAAAACATATTTCTTATAACATAGGTATGGTTATAAGAAATAGGTTTATATAATTTTTTTTATATCATAACCTAATCAAATCAAAATCACAATTGTGACAACCAAGTATATCATAATCTCCTTATATTTTTATAACTTACTTATATTTTTTAATTAAGGGCAAATTATGATGTAAGAAGACTAAATTTTCTGCCCTTTCTGGTAGCAATCGATTTCTTTTTGTTTCATATAAGTTTCCGGCCTCTGAGAACAGCCTCTCACTGTAAACAGAACTTGCGGGACAACAGAGGTACACTTTGGCCATGCGCGACATTTCAGGGTACCTAGAACTATTGCGGCTCCACCACTGAAATGGGTCATCATTACGCTTTATCACCGGTAACGCACAGTAGGACTGCAGTTCATGAGCTGTGCTTGACTTGTCATCTTGAAATTCTTGTATTTTTCTTGATGCAAAATTTTGGTAGCATTGCCAAAAATTCTTATGTGTTGCTGTTTCTATATTATTTTTATCAGTGGAGGTGCTCTGTAAATCATCTTTTGCTACTGTCGCTGTCGTCATCACTCATGCTATTCTTCAGAGATTCTACGAAAAATTGGGACCTAATGGTGATGAGATCCTCTGCCTCGAAAAACTGTTGCTTGTATCTTGGATCCAACAATGTAGCCAAGGTGAAGATTTTGTCATGGTCCATGTCGAATCTAATATTCAAATCATTTTCCAGTAGGGCTTTCATTTCCATGATTTCTTTGTTGTCATCATAATACATTTCTAAATATTTTTTAGGGTTTTCAGATGAGGTATTACTTCATATACTGATGAGCAACTTGAACTTATTATCTTGAAAAACTCTTCAAACGGCTTTAGCAATACGATGCTTTTTCCTAGTATTTGCCACTCTTCATTAGACAAATTTTCGAAATTTACTGATGTTTCAGCAAGGTACAAGGAAACAGCTCGTTTTTGTTCGAAGAGGCGAGATATCATATAGTATGTGGAATTCCACCTGGTACATACATCTTGAACAAGCTGGTGATGTGATAAATTTAGTTCTTGCTGCAAATCCCGAAGTTTTGACTGAGCTTGATTAGAATGATTAAAGTGTGTCACTATTCGTCTCGATTTTACTAGTATTTGTGCCATGGTATCATGTTTCAAAACGGTATTAATAGCCAGTTGAAGAGTATGTATGTATAACATGGTACTCCCTTAAAAACTGAATCGTCAATTGCTTTCGTCACATTTCTGCCGTTGTCTCGTACCACGGCGTGGTTTTTGGTCGTATCTATATCCCATAAAGTTGGAACTTCTTCTAAACAATTTTTGATATTATTGGCGGTGTGTGTTTCAGGAAAATGTTTCATTTGCAATACTCCGTGGTGATATTTGAAACTATCGTCTAACCAGTGAGCTGTAAAACTCAAAAAACTTTCTTTATTATTTATGTTTGTCCACATGTCAGTAGTAACTGAAATTGCAGTTGCACTTATCAACCCTCTTCGTATTTCAGATTTAGTCTCTTCGTAAAGTTGAGGAAAGATGTTTTCTGTGAAATACTTTCTGCCCGGTATATTATATTTAGATTTAACTTTCCTTATCAGGTTTCTAAACCCTGTATTTTCAACAATTGACAACGGCTGGTTGTCAAGTGCAATCATTTCACCTATCGCAAGATTGATTTCTCTTGATCTTGAGTCATCATATGACCAGTGGATTGTGAAACTGTCTTCAATTTTTTGTTGACTTTCTTGACTTAAACTGACCTCTGATGACACTAAAGTTGACGGAGTAAGCACTGCTTTAGGTAATTCTTCTGCTGAGATTTGAGACTTGGTGGAATCGCGTCTGCTTGAAGATTTGATAGCAGAACCTAACTGATATAACAGGGTTGGATGTTTATGTTTTATATGGTTGCTCATGCTTGTAGTGTTAGCTGTTTTCCCTTGCCCACCACGAGAAATTATCACTTGGCATTGGTTGCACTTTAATTTACGGGAATCATTGTCCAATTGTTCAAAAAACATCGATACACGAGATTTTCGTTTTGACATCATTAAATTTTAATTTTAAATTTTTCTCTGCAATCAAACTAAGTCCTTCCACCAACAAAATATACACTTTTTTTTTAATGTATTTTGTAGAATACACTATTATGAAGTGTTTAAAGCAAAAAATGAAAATGGCTAAATTGCTACATTGGCCCTTATACATAGGACGCAGCGACTTATAAACCATTGTTTGTAATAAACTGGAATGTTTTATGTATGAAGGAAAGGACAGACTTAATGTGAAGTCACTGACTACTGTACAGTTCTATTAATAGTTGTGTCAAAAATAATACACTGTATATGAATGTAAGAAAAATGTATTTGTTTTATAAACTCTAATTAACATTTTATATTAAAAATATACATTCTTAGAATTCTACACAATGGCATATAATTTTGAAAAACCCTAGTAGTACCAATTCCTTTTATCTTATTTAACATTATTTTCATGTCTCCTGTAACCATTTCTATACATTAAACATACAGAGAGCAATATTTATTCTTTACTTTATTAAAATGATAAACATTAAAAACAACCAAATAGTTAAAAAATAACTTCAAACTTGTGCTACATTCTGGTCAGGAGTACAAAATATGTAATGTATATTTTGAATTTTCTAAACAATCTTCTAAAATCTTTGTTTTATGATTATTTACATTTATAAAACTAAGTATATGCTAAATAATAAACTCTTTAATATTAAAATAATTTTCATACTAGTTCAGGTTTTATCATTCTTTTTACATTATTTGTACATCTTGTATTTTTCAACATTACCAAACAATACTTAAGCATATATACATTATAAAGGCCTGGTGTATTACACTCACATACTGAATCACAAGTTTCATATGTTTACTTAAATTTATATCAATGAGTACAGGTTCTATGTATATATGAGAATTCAGTAATAAAACAAAGATCACTATAGTTGTATGAAATATAAAATTATTAGTCAACTGAACAGATTTGGTTCAACAATTCTTAACAACATAATTCACGTCATATAAACTAAGGCAGTTTTGTTTCTAGATACTATAAAATAGTATCTTAGTACAAGTTTATAGTCACTCATTCATTGCTTCATCAAGACACTTTCAATTTTAGGCTTCAGTATTCTTAGTAAGAGTGTTCTCTCATTCAATAATCTACATTCATACTATAATGAGCAAAGATTCATTCATGAAAATCTTTAAACGGTCAGTATATAGTGTGTTGATGCAAACTTGAACATGCTGTATACAATGTATTCATTTAAATTTAACAATTGTTTACATTCAAGTATGTAATACAATTTACATTTATGAATTCATTTAACCAATGCGTTTCTTATATGGTATTTTACAGTATCAGTATTAACGAAATTTCACCTTTTGTATAAAATGTATAATATCCATTATGTTCAATATATTCGTGATATTAACAAGTTTTATTGTATTCTAACAACTTGAATACAATTCTATGATTAGATCGTCTCTCGATGAAAATTATACAGGGTGACTGGTGAATTACTATCAATATTTAAGGAGAATACTCGGTACATGATTCTCATTCGAATTATGTAAAAAAAATAGGCACTTAATTTTTGACAAAATTTCCGTATAAATAAGTAAAGTGTTGACACGTTCCAAGTGTTCAAGTGTGGACGCGTGCGGCGGCGTGCTGATACAACACTACGTCACGACACGCGTATGTGTGAGTGTCAGTGTATACCTAATCTGTAGGGTGTTCACACGATGCGTAATTAATTACATAACTTTTGGTTAACTTTACTTAGAAGTTTATTAATATTTATGTTATATTAATTTTTATTTTGTCATATATGATCGTCAAATATCACGTCCTCAAATATCGATAGTAATTCACCAGTCACCCTGTATATTTCTTTTCCTTTGACATATGGATATAACATTATTCACAGTCTGCAATACAGTTGTTAAACACAAACTCACTTCACTTACACCTTAAAAATTGAATCATAGTACTATTTTCTTCTTCCTGGCAATTTCCCAGCTTTAGCCAGGGTCTGTCATATATAGTACTATTTTCATCAGTCCACATATATTTTCGTAGTGTATATGTTATTGTTATCAATGTGTTTGTTCATACTTGGCCAGTTTAGCCTTACAGTGTGTTAGTTCAGCGGCCAGGCTGGCGAGCGCGGCGTGTGCTTGTTGTAACTGAACTCTTAGAGATGACTCCGACGCATCCTCCATTACTATATCTCTCACCTCGCTACGAACTGATGACTCACTCAACTCATTGGACGGCTGTAAACATATGAATTAAATTAATATTCATATAAAGAGAGCTTAAATAGTTCTTAGTTATATGAAAATATATTTTTCTGATTATTAACTAAATATTACCGACGTTTCGATTATTTTGTAGCAACCTTCATCACGGGCGGACGAAATTTAAATGTCTGTCTATTTATCGGTCTTGTTATTTGTCATCTATGCCCAACGATTTCTTAATTTTCTTAGTTCTCAGTTAATACAAAGACGAAACCTCGTAGCATTCAATGTATTCACGGTGCGTGTGTCGGGTCCATTGTTGTAGTGAAAGGAGCTTAAACAGTGACTGGGATTTGCGACCCAGGTGTAGGTTTAAGGGACCCTATCTAATGCGTTAAACGCTCACCTCCACTGTCCAAGCTCCTCTCTCTACCAAATTTAAAAAGAACCTACTAGGGCTGCCTTTGAAGTATGTTCCAAGAATTAATTGATATTATTTCTGAACAGGCCCAAGTCTTTTAATAGGTTATAGATAAATGTTATTTGTTATACCTTTTATTCCCACTTCTACCGCATACAAATCCACGTGGAACCTATTTCTAGTGAAGTCACTATATTTATTGAGCGCTTTCTAGGATACTTATATAGTTTTATTATGTGAATGTTAATTAACCTCAATAGATATCTGTGTGTTGTTGGTGGTAGCAGCATTACTAGTATTTGCCAAAAGTCGTGTAAGGTTTGCTTTGTTGAGAAGAATCTTAAGAGCTGGTCGGCGGGGTGACTTGTTCTCTTTGACGCCGAGTAACTTAACTTTCTGAAATATAATATAATGTTTCACACTTAAACCATTCAGTATAAATTATTTATTTAGGTTCGCTAGCGATTTTTACACAAATGAATAATTAAATAAAGTTACATATAAATTAATAACATGCATAAATTGTGTAAAATCAGTTAAAAGCAAACACTGCATAATAAAACACTAATATTTCAGTAGCTATATATGAGTCATCTAATATCAAAGGCGGCAATATACATTTCAATGAATTTTGTGTATATTTTTTATCCCTTAACTTATATATTTCTTCAATAAGAAATGAACAATGAGAATGATCATTTTACTCTGTTTTATTCAACATATATGGACTTTTTAAACCAGAATTCACTAATAACTTGGAGATTGCCGACTTAATTAGATGACATAATTTCAGGATTATTGCAATGTAACTTAATTATATACATTTAATACAAATTAAATACGTCCAACTATGTAATTGTTTTTAATATAATCTCTCAGTTTACCTGTAAGTCATGTGAACTAATGACTTTCTTCACAGTATGATCTGATTTATTAACGGAGAGCATTTGTAATCCTTTGACGCTTTTGATAGTGTTGAGTGACCTCGCTTTGATCATGACTCCTTTAGTCTCGGTCATGTTTGAACTGGTCACTATGTTAGTGGTCAAGCTTGACTGACTGTTGTTGGCTGTGTTTGTGTTGTTGTTGTTGCTCGCGTCAACAGAGCCGCTGGTAGCTACCATCACTGGTGCGTTGCTCTCCTTCAACATCAGCTTGCCAGCATCTATTAGTCATTCATCACTGCTAAGGTCGATTATTATTGAAAAAACATATGATTACTCGCTTTCCGCTATATCTTTATATATGTATATAATTCTTCTGTGAGTGTGTATGTCACTGAACTTCTCTCAAACGACTGGACGGATTTTGATGAAATTTTTTGTGTGTGTTCAAGGGGAACTGGGAATGGTTTACATTCACAATTTTGTCCGCTAGACTATGCTTTTTTATTATTTTTTAATTTATTAGTTGTTGATACAAACGATTTTTTTTGACATTAGATTTGACAACTAACTAATATGTCAATCATTCTGTCGCACTTCAAAACACTGAGATTTATGGCTTTTATAGGTTAATTCCAAAAATATAAATAAAAAAATGTAACAGACATTTCTTGATTATAGGGCGATACGAAGATCGCCAGGTCTTCTAGTTTTCTTATAATTTATCGTCTTTGTGGAATTTTAAAGTGTATTTCGCGTGGTGTTAGTATGATAAGTGTCCATTATACCTGATAATACGACGGTTCGTCCGCTTCTTAATGCGCTGAGTACAGTGGAACCTCTATCTCGCGGTAGCAAGGTGATTCCATGCGCGCGAAGTAACGCAGCCCCGGACAAACCCGGCGCCGGCTATATGTATAATATTACATGTATTACAGAATTAACATAATGTCGTGTATAGTGCAAATCAACCTACCATTGGGTAATCCCGCGTTTCACAATTATTAATTATTAAGTGTTAAATTTATTACGAATTGTGAAAAAAATAACTTAAAAGTCGTTAATACAGAAAATATTTCATCTTAAAGTTTCTTCTGATAATATTATTTGGGATTATCCAATGGTAGTTACGCCCATTTGCTCTAGCCCCGACTATATACAGGGTGACTGGTGAATTACTATCGATACTTGAGGACGTGATATTTGACGATCATATATGACGAAATAAAAATTAATATAACATAAATATTAATAAACTTCTGAGTAAAGTTAACCAAAGGTTATGTAATTAATTACGCATCGTGTGAACACCCTACAGATTAGGTATACACTCACACACACATACGCGTGCAGCGGCGTAGTGTTGTATCAGCACGCCGCCGCACTCGTCCACACTTGGAACACTTGGAACGTGTCAACACTTTATTTATTTATACGGAAATTTTGTCAAAAATTAAGTACCTATTTTTTTTACATAATTCGAATGAGAATCATGTACCGAGTATTCTCCTTAAATATTGATAGTAATTCACCAGTCACCCTGTATAATGCGACGTTACGGTTATATAATATCTTACAATGTCTATAGATTTAGGAACCCGTTTAATTAATATGTACAATCAATTATACCTCAGTCTTAGATTCTATAACGATAGTCTTCTCCGGAGGTTTTGCTTTGGACGGCTGTCTGACCTCTTGTAGTCCTGTAACATGAAAATTAATAAATTTATTAGCTTTTGAACACATTTTTATAGTAAACTAGATGAACCGGGGAACTTCGTATCGCCCTATAATCAAGAAATATCTGTTACTTCTTTTTTAATAAATAAAGTTAGCTTATACCTTAGCTTCAGAAACACGTGGTGGTTATGCTATTATGTATTAAATAGTCGCTCATATATGACGTATTTGTATTTCTAACATAGCGCCATCTATTGAATAATTAACTCAGTCAACAGATAATTGTAATAATGATAAATAATTTTCTTTAATAGACAAATAATTTGCAATAAAATAATATTGTGACTATAAATTGAGATGTAAGCTATCCTATCTTTCAATTTGGATCAAAAGGCACACAGAATGCAAATCAAATTTAAAATCGGTTTAGCAGTTTCGGAGTCCATCGCGGACAAACACGTGACACGAAATTTTTTTATATATAATAGTAGGGGATTTACTAAAGCGCAGCAGATTAATATGAGGCCCATATATAGGGCCGCCCGTGAAGGATACAGGATCAGATTAGTAAAAAAAAATTGACCATCAGAAATTCTCGAGCGCGTCAGATTAAGGAAGGGTGAGTTAATTACACCGTTAAAAGTGTATATTCCACTAATCTGACAATTTGAGAGTGACGAAAAAAAAGGGGAGGGCAACAAAGTTGTAAAAAAAAAACGTCATCTCGACATTCTCGAGCGTAGCTAAATTTTTTTTATTTTGAAGGAAATAATTCAAGAATAATGAAAAATATATAATCTGACGATTTCCACAAGCCGAAATAACAAAATTTCGTCGATAAAGTTAAATGCGTGCAGCTGCGTGATGCCTACATTTCCTTCTCGGCGTTTCTATTCCTCTCTCACTCTTTGTCTATCTATTACTCTCTCATTCCGCCCACTCTGGTTTCTGTTGCCATCACAGCTGATCATAAAGACTCGTTCCTGGCATACTGTTTACAACGTGTTTCCAACGTTTTGGTTTTTTTTTTTTTGCTATTTTAATATTATTTGAGTGAATTAAAGTTTATAAACATTTAATATGAGTGATATTAATTTAATAATTTAATGCATAGAAATATTATTTCTTTGAACTCAGCGAGCTCAAAATATCACATAAATTATATTTTGAGCTCAAAAATGTTATAAGTACAATTTTAAGCGCCCAGGAATGGAATTAGCGAGAAGTTGCAGGGATGGCCTTTAAAGTGAACCGTTTTTCAAATTTTTTTTTGTCAGGTTAGGTGAATCCCGCTCCATAATCGTCAGATTATGAGACAGTACGTTTAGAACATAAATATTAACCATATATATCTTAATCTGACGCGCTTGAGTATTTCAAAATGGCGATTTTTTTTGCACATTATAAAAATGGCCGCGAGTTTGCGTCCCATCGACGACTAAATTTTTTTTTTCATTTTCAACCCTTAAATACAACCACCCGCATCATGCTAACGATCAGATTAACATACGTACATTATTAAAAATACGTAGGGCATTGATGCTATCAATATCTGACGCGCTCGAGGATGTCCATGTAACAGTTTTTTTTTTTTTTGCATATTTAAACATCTATAGCCGCTTCCCCCACCGATGTAAAGGTATATATCATATAACATTTTTTTCTTCTTATCATCTAAGCTTTGCATCCCAATAGGTCTCTACGACGTTTGAGTAAATCCCCATTTAGCATCGTGGGCTCCCCTACTATAAAGATATGTTAGCAAGTCAAATACATTCTAGGTGTCGGATATACTAACTTTGGATTGTTTCGAAATTTTGAACCTTTGGCGATTCCTCTGTTACTGTGGGACGGTCTGTAAACAAAAAACATAATAATAAGTATACATGAAAATACACACGTAACATTTTCTGGTGCATATCAGTCATCAAACTAACTAACTAACAAACTAATATTTTTCGGATATACTTTATTTTTGATAGAAACTCCATACTCCCGAAGTTTCGGTTACTTTTCAATCGTGATCACGGGCAGACGGGACGTGCGTCTGTCAATTGGTTTTGTTATTTATAAATCTTACTAATAATATAATTGCGAAAGTTTTTGATTGTGTGTGTATGTTTGTTACTTCTTCACGCTGAAACGGCTGAACCGATTTTGATAAAATTTCGTATATATGAATCTGACGTCCAGGAATAACACTTAGGCTACTTTACATCCCGGAAATCTCGGAAATCTGCTAGTTGTTAATATATTGAACACAATAATATACACATACCGTGTTCTTTAGCCGCTTGGTCGAGTACTGCCATCACGTCAGTGGCGCCGGCTCGTACTGCGAGGCAGCGGGGCGTCTTCTTGAACTTACATCGAGCGAGCAGATCCGCGCCGCGACACACTAGCTCACGGACTACTGACACGTGGCCGCGAGCACTCGCCCAGTGGAGAGGAGTCATGTGGAGCATGTCGCTGGAAGTAATTTATTTATTTATTACAATTATGTTGGTATTTTTTACATTTATATCTAAGTTTTCAGTGTCTCATAAACCAATATTGGTTTTCCGTACACTGGAAATGAATGTAATGAATAATAAGAGAAGAAACCTCGTAACATTCAATGGATTCAATTGCGTGTGTCGGGTCCATCGTTGTAGAGAGGAGCTTCAACAGGTGTAGGTTTAAGAAACCTTATTTAACGCGTTAAACGCACACCTCCACTGTCCAAGCTCCTCTCACTACCTAATCAAATTTGAAAAGAACCCACTAGAGCTCCGACGTACGCTCTAAGAATGAATTAATGTTAGTTCTGGACAGGCCCAAGTCTTTAAGTAGGTTATAGATTTATCTGTTATACCTCTCGCTCCCATTGTAAGGATGGTAAAATCGATTCCGATTCTACCTGAGAATCGATTTTTAGTAATATATTCTATAATTTATTTTAATGCTGGAATGACATGATACCGTATTAAACTAGTTTCACTTCTTTAAATTAAAAAAATCTATAAAATTTTTATCAAAAAACAACATATTCAGAATCAATTATTTAGATTGGTTAATCGATTCCGAGAATCAAAATTTCTGATAATGAATCTGAATAGAGAATCCATTCTTTAGCTTTTGTTTCAATCTAGCCATTATTACCATAGACTAAATACCTAACTCCACACAGACTACCATCCCAGTGAAGCTGTCATAGACATTAGGGCTAACAGCTGAATAAGTTAAAATAAAAAAAGACTACTTGTCTATGGTATTACATTATTGTGAATGAGCTTAAAATAATACAATTTTATATTATTCATTCTTATATGAACTTGATAGATGTGTGATTATATATAACTGAATCAAAAAATATTTAAATTAATGACTAACTTTACATATATCTTACATAAGTATCAAACAAGATTCTTAGTCAATGGAAAAATTATAAAAACATATTCAATGTACAATGTTAACATTGAAAAAAACAAAATCAGTTGATTTTCATTTCATACTTCACAAATTACCTTTATAACCAAAGCCACATCTAAATGTATTACTAATTACTCTATTACCAATATCTATGAATCTGATCCAATTTTTAATATAATACCACCTGTAACCTCATTTTTATATATAGAGATTTTAATCATTTTTACCAATAAGTTAAAACTTTAATATAATGTAATAAATGATTTATAAACTTCCTAATATTTGCATGCTGTATCCGTCTTAAAAGATAATGCATTTAGAATTAAGCTACACTGTATTTCTTTACCCAATATTGTATTAATGTTATTATTGCTGGTGGATCTTAATAAATCTTCTTCTTCTACCTGGCAATTTCCCAGCTTTAGCCAGCTTTAGCTTTAGGTCTGCCTTACATGTTGTGAATAGTTTTGGCTAATTGTTTTTACGACCGGCCGCCTGCCTAACATCAACCCTCTTTGGGAATCAATCTCGTAGATCTTAATAAATAAATAAATAAATAAAATGAAATAAAATTAGTATCTCTTAGTATATATATATTTTACTAACCGACAGTCAACCATAGCTCCATGATCAAGCAGTAGTGCTACTACAGCAGCATGTCCAGCGTGTGCCGCCAAGTGTAACGGAGTTCGTTCAACTTTAGTCCGAGCATCTCGTGATACACCTGCCCTAAGCAACACACCGCATGTCTCTACGTGGTTGTTAGCAGCGGCAAGATGTAACGGTGATGTACCCAGCTGTAAATAGATAGATAGATATGTTTAATAATAATGTACATAGAATAAATGTATGAAGAGATATATGATATATAAACATTGACTTCAAGGCTTCATATAAAGAAGTATTGCTTAAACACACATTAGTTATTACTTGCTCATTAGTAATAAAATGTAGGAAGATTACTTTATTATATTAGTTGCTGTCAATCAGTTTGTTACTTAGCAATACATACATGACAAATTCGATATAGTTTTATTGTATACTACAATATTAGATAATTTTTACCACACTTCTATATTCTTTTATATGTAACAATATTAAATTATCAATTTTCCTCACCCAATCGGTAGTAAATGGTGCACCTTTGGCCATAAGATCAAGTACAGTAGCGGTGTCTCCTGCTCTGGCTGCCAGGAGCAATCTGCGACCCAACTCCACTCCACCAGTCTGTATCCTTCCACCGCCTACATTACTAGCAGCTGGTACTATCGTCTCTGACTGTGATTACATAGTATACAATGAATTTATAATCTTAATATATATTATTTAGTATTGATTTATTCTACCTATACCTATATGCACTATAATATGAAGAACTTTACGGTTTGATGAAGGATTCAAGTATATTTAAGTCTTAGAATTTTATTATGTCTAAATTAAACACTTACTAATATTATATGATAAAAATACTATTAAATATTGATTTATTCTACCTTTTCATATGCACTAAATAAAAAGCTTTTATTTAGTGCATATGAAACGGATTTAAGTATATTTCAGTCTTAAAATTTTATTATAAGTCTAAATTAAACACTTACTGATATTATATGAGGTGAAGATAATCGTACGACTACATCTTCTTCACAGAGATCTGAAGTCATCTTTTCTTTTTCTTTTCACCTGAGACATTATCATAGTTATTTTATTAAGCTTATTAGAAACTCTGATTGTAATACTTTGAAATGTAATTGGAATTTTAAAAAGATGAAAATAATATTCTCTGTACCATTTAATTCATAGCACAATCTACATTTACATCCAAGAATACTAAGAATTAATTTACTGGTATGCGAAGAACAATAACTCTTTTTATTCATATTGTAATTTAATGACAACTTTGAACTTTCCACTTAATTTCAACTTTTTGTTATGAAAACACGCAAACAGGATAAGGATGTTGAAATCTAAGCGTTTTGATGCAATTGCGATCACCGATCTCAGACTTCCTTTTCCTGTCGTAGCGGAAGTTCTTCTATTATAGATAAATTTTCCCTTGAGATAACAAAAATAGAGCAAGTTCAACACTTACACGAGAACTTCTATTAATAAACAAACAATTACAAAAAGAACATCTTTGATGTTTATTGCACGGAAATATGTAGACGTCAACTAATTTATCTGATAATTTCGAGGAATATTTTTATACCGCGAAAAAATATGTCAAATTATTTTTAACAATTTTTTCAAAGTTCATCAATAAAATTATGTACATCGTATTGCTGACATTATTATCTACGGTAGCTAAATAATATTAGTTATAACAAAGAATTAAGAGTTTTACTTTATCAGATTTTAAGGTTATTTCTATCGGTAAAGTTGGTATACCTGATATGAAAATGTTTTGTTTGAAAATAAAACAAAAAAATGTAGACCTATTTTAAAAAATTTAATGAAATAATTTTTTAATAAAAATATATTTATCTGGACCAGAATGTTATTAATTTACACATTCATGTTAGCTTACAATATTAGATATAGAACTTTGTATTAATTCATTATTATTATTTTTTATACAATGTGACAAATTCTTCATATTTTAAATATAGTTACTTATTACCGAGTTACAAATATTTTTTTTGCTTTTATAAAAATATCGATTGACGATTCTTTACATTAAACCTTAGTCATAAATAATTTAGTCTCATAAGTCATATGTCAATAGTGGCAATACTTAAGTATAAATTCGTGTTTTGGTATTATAATAAATACTAAATGACTTTTTAATTTAAATCATAATTAAGCCAAAAATGTAAACAATTAATTTTCCGGTTATCTAACAATTGAATTGTGATTTAAAATATCTATAATGAAACTATCAACTCCAAGATATACGTTCTGCTTAATAAGTCAACTAGTATTTATGTTTTGCGATCTAATATTTAATTGCGTTAGTTTATTTCCAAAAACCCGGGATGGTTTGTTGGTATTATTTATGTAAGTAAAATATTGAACAGTGAGTACATAATGCTCGTTTATTTATATCAACATATTTAACTTCCTTAATTTTAGATTTCAAGACTTATTTCTCATATTGTCGATTACAATGATGTTGATGACTTTCTTCTCGACTTATTTGTTTCAAGTAAGTTCGATGACATGTCTTTATAAAATCAAAGACTTTTTCTTATTGTATATATCAAATTTCAGGCTGGGTTAGTTGAAGTTTTAATTCGCAAGTTCCGCGCCGCCGGTTCAGTTATAGTGTCATATCTGGTTGCTAGTGTGTTACTCCACACAGCATGGTTGATGCAGAAGTGGTCTGACCCTGAATCCGTATCAACTCCATTCCTTATTGTTTTATTTACATTCCAGAGATGTTGTAAGTTATAACCACCATTCAGTAATTCGTTTAATTTATATATATTTTTTATATCAATTTGAAATTAATTTTTATTATTTAATTTTCAGTGTCTCCGTGGTATTACTTTTTCTACAAACGAGCGGCCCTGAGAGTTAGTGATCCTCGATTTTATGAAGATATTGACTGGATCAGTCAACAGTTGCAGCCTCATCATTAAAGGATTGATGATTAAAGAAGATAAAGTAGTGGTGGATTTTATCAAGAGCCAAATCTTTGATCTCTCAACATTTCCAAAGATATTTTAATTTAGTATATCCTAAAGAAAGTTTCAGTATTCCAATCTAGTCAGAATAAAAATATATCATCTTTATAATATATATAATTCTTCTGTGAGTGTGTATGTCACTGAACTTCTCTCAAACAACTGGACCGATTTTGATGATATTTTTTGTGTGTGTTCAAGGGAATCTGGGAATGGTTTAGATTCACAATGTTTTTTTAATTAATTTTTGATTTATAAGTAGTTGTTGATACAAAAGTTTTTTTGACATTCTATTTGACAACTAATTAATATGTCTATAATTCTGTTGCACTTCAGAACATAGAGATTTATGGCTTATAGGTAAACTCCAAAAAAATAAATAAAATATTATTTATTTATAGATTGAGGCAGTATGAAGTCTGCCGAGTCAGCTAGTATAGATATAATATATGGCTGAATCATTCGATGCCTGCTTAAAGGACCTTCTGTCTTAAGCTATAACATAATTAGCTTATCTAGCAAACTCTTAGAGTGATCACATTCATATTAATAATCTTTTATGTTGAAATAAACCAGATTGACTTGGAAATCGCATGACAACACACTGCCCTCAAAAACAACATCTGTAAAAACAACTTCGGCTCGCAACTCAGTCAGTGAGATTTAGCAATCACATTAAACAATCTTAATTACTATAATATGTTGTGCTTGTGAGTTACACTGTGTTTTCATGCCAAACAATCTCTTCTGATACGTGTAATTGTTAATTAGCACTTAAGTATTGTTTACGTTAGATACATATATATTTACTTTAACAGTGTAATAATATATTGGTATTAGTATTTAATTATGTTAAGTAATTAGAGTACACACTATCGGATTTCCGAAAATTAATAGCAGAATACATGTTAAAAAAGAAAACTTAAAGAAAATTCGACGAAAACATGTAAAAGATCGAACCAGGTTGTACCTGTCATTTGTCAAACATGTGTATGTTATCCGGATCCTGTCAAACACTATGGGTAATGGTTGACATGAGTTCAGAAATAATGACGAACGATTAACTTTTACGCGTGCGTTTATTAATTTATTTTGTACTAGCTTTCCGCCCGCAGCTTCGCCGCGTGGAGTTCGGTTATATCGCGTTTCCAAGAGAACCTTTCAAAAGTCTGGGATAAAAACTATCCTATGTTCTTTCTCAAGGTCAACTCTATCTCTGTACCGAATTTCATTAAAATCAGTTCAGTGGTTTAGGCGTGAAAGCGTAGCAGACAGACAGACAGACAGACAGAGTTACTTTCGCATTTATAATATTAGTAGGGATTAACTAAAGATTATTTTCTAGCGACATCTATCGAAAGAAATTGGTGTTTCATGTAATTAACTAACAAAAATATAACAGATGGCGCTAGCACTTTAATAAATCCAGGCCTTGATTTGAAAAATCAAAAACCATAAAAATATAAATGTTACATTTTAAATCTGTTTTTGAATGTTATTAATTGAGATCTGGACAGATTATCGAAATACTAAAGACTTATACTATTATAGTATTAATTTAAACATATATATTTGCAATGTCGATAAATAATAATTAATAACAATATCAGTCGCTAAGTGTTTGTCGTATTAATCTTGAAAATTCGTGTTTTTTAGATGGCCAGTTATATGACACCTGTTCCCGTGTGGGAATACCAACAACACTATTCATATACCAGTAAATAAAACAAGAATATTTTGTATCAGAATAATAAAGACTTTGTTTTCGGAATATTTTTCATTTATTAATATACCAATGAGAATTCAATAATCACAGTTAAGAAGACAGACCATTGTCTGTCGAGTCAGTTGTACATAATTAAGAAATTAACTTCATTTAGATAAAAAGGTAACAACAGATATTTCTTGATTACAGGGCGGTACGAAGTCCGGGTCATCTAGTTTATTTATATAATTTATCCTAAGCTTGTAAGCCACTTGTTTTTAAGGTCCTAGTCTCATGAAACTCATATGTAATACATTAGTCTCAAGGAATATTGGAGATAAATAAAAAATAAAATGAACATGATTTTCTTTATTTATTTCAAAAACTCAGTATTGTTAGAAACTTGACTGACAAAACAACAATTATATACAACAATCATGAAAGAGGAACAATCAGATATTTCAATTTATTGTATGTACAGAGATATTTCTTTAAATATGATCTACTTATTGTTTTAGATCATACATTAGTGAAGATGGAATAAAAATACATATTTAAAAAGGATAATTGAAATATCTTATACATTTAAAACTCATAATTTATATATGTGTAGTATTTAATTGATATTTTAATGACATCAACACTTCGACATTCACTAATGCTGTAACCTGGAACCTTATCATTTCTTGGTTTAGAACTTGGAGCGGCAGAGAGGACAGTTCGACTTGTTGCTTGTACTGAACCATTTTCTCTGAAAAATTAACATATAACATATTTAATAACCAGTCTGATATAGATAGGGTTTAATTGTAATGTAAATAATGATAAAATCTATGACATTGTGTATTAGTGGTATAACATATAATACAGTTGGGAGTTGAACTATGTAGTGACAAATCCTAAAACCACATTTATATGTCATCTTAAAGAGTAGTCTTTATTCTGAGATAAACTCTATAATAACTACAATTACTGCTAGATTTGAAAAAAAGGAGATGCGAGAATTTTAATGAAAGAATATATAAAATTTTGGCTAACTCTAACAAAAATAATAGCAAAATAAGAAAAGAGCTTTTGAGACAGAGTATTTTTTTGACTCTGGATACTTACTTGGGCGTAAATGGATGAAATATTAGTCTTACAATTAGTGGGTCTGAAGAATGATAACAAAAAAAATGTATGTATGTAGACACAATAAGTATTACAGACAGGACTCGATGTAAAGATGTTAAGAGTGCTATAAGAATTTGAAGTGTACGGTCGAATTTCAGGAGGATAGGATGTGTTCATTGACATACTGATATAGGGAGTCAAAAGTTAGTTGTGTCACTATCTGGATATTAAACAAGTTGATAGAAACTCAGTACAAAGAGAATAATACAATAGAAAATAACAAGAAGAGAAAGGAATAACAGGAAAAAAAATATTTTTGTTCAATATCGCGATAGGACAGATGATAAAAAATTAATTTGAAATTATATGGAGACAGAGCTGGTGGCTTAAATAGGGAGACGAGAACTTGAAGACAACACACTGGAGAGATGAAGAAATTGTTGAAGAACAGCTCTATTTTCAGTAATGAATGTTCTGAATTGAGAAGTTTTCTACTATAACAGTTTGAGATCACATAATTGTATTGTGAGAAACTTTGATCTCTGACGTTATTTCCTTTACATTGTTTGGTTGTGTTATTGTTTTGTTGTTGTGTGAACTCACGAGACACGGCGAGTGGAACTTGTTTCTGCATTGATGGCAGGGTACAGTGGGCAGACGTCCGCTGGCGGGGTGCATGCGGCAGTAACAGATGTAACATTGAGGCGAGGACTCCACGCGGGCTGTTACCGCTGACATCCACATCTTGAGAGCGTTTAGGAGGGTACCGTTCTATAAGAAGATATATAGACGAGTGTTAGACAAATATATATGGTGCTATCAAAAAATATGTGATCTTAAAGGCACATATACAATAGAAATAAGGCTAGGTTCTAAGATTTCCGAAGTAGAACATTTAAACAAGAAGACTCCATTTGAAGACAATTTTATTTCTTCAGAGAAGACAATATCTATAAACGAAACAAAAGACACGGTTTTTAATAATAAAATTCACTGAGTCTCACCTGGTAGGCTAAATACAGTACGATCCAGTGTGTATCCGGCGCGGGGGAGTTAGGCGGAGTGGACACATATGGTAAGGCTAGAGGGTGGGACGGGGCGAAACGGACCGTCAATTCAAGTTCACGCTCCTCTAATTCTAAGACACAGCGGACTTCGCCTCTTTGCCAGCGTATAGCGACTTTCGCTCCAGCCAGTTCCCCCGCGCGTTCTCTCAATTGTGTGAGGTGTGTGCGCACTAAGGGTGGAGTGATAGCTGCCGGTACTAGTCGCTGTAGTGCGCGCGCTGTGCGTGGAGACGCAAGGCTCCAGCCGCGCGCACCGCCAGCGCCCGACCCACCTAGAGTGGCTGTCAGCACCCAACAAGATAGGCGGCTTACTGTGCGACCGTTACACCAACCTGATGGAACATACATTATATTAACGGAAGATTACTAAGCGGCAGATCGTCATCAGAATGACAAAATAGTATAATAATTGAATAGAAAAATGTGCAATATTTACGTCTCATTCAATTAATTAGAGGGTCATTAAGATCGTAGCTTCGACCACATAGTCCAATCAAAATAGACAAATATAAGTCATAACTTAGCCAAAATTCGCATAGAGCTGAAAATTGCCAGAGACGTTAAATACATCATTATAAATGAAATATCAAATATCCCTTTCGATCCTACTTCTGCAAAAAAATTTATTCAATATTAAAAGTATAAAATTAAGGTTTTTTCCATTTTTCTCGAAAACAGTAAGTATTATCGTAAAAATAGGTCGGACAAAAGTTGTAGATCATACTATTCTCTACAAAAATGGTCCGGTTACTTTTTCTTTTACGACTCACCATTCGTGAGATATCGCGGTTTTATCATTAGAAAATTCATATTTTACATAATATGATCTAAAACTGCAGCTTGTATACGTCACCGGACGTTCAATATAAATGAAAATAAGAAACTATTCGTTTGTGTTACTTACACAATAAAACTTGTATAAATTAAATGAGGATTTTAAAATATACGACTACTGTCAGTCTCTAATTCCCTTTGTCGGTTGAAGGATCTGATTTATCGAAGATCATAGTAAGACTTGGAGATTTTCATTTACTTATGTCTTTTTTTGGAGCGATTGGATGCATTATGCCAAAGAAGAACTTTCTTTGATTTATGCACCTAATTCATTAGAAAAAATGCTCAATGGTCATGTTTACGCGAGAGCTGTTAGAGCTCATACCTTGCTACATCTTACTTTAGCAACAATAATATCCAAAGAGCTTGTTCTCGATAGTGAGATGGATGAAAACCTTACAAATACAATTGAACTTATAATAAATAAAACTATTTCCTATAATGATATTGAACAAGGTGATGAAATAGCTGAAGCATTACATTACCTGTTAAATAAGGACCTACAGCAAAACTATGGATACAATATTTTCATATATGTAGTATCTATTGCAAAGGAATTCATAAGAGCTGAACGTATGGGTGATTGGTGAGCTCATTTGAATTGCGTTAAAGAAATGCTTCCTTATCTTCATGAGTCAGGACATTTTTATTATGCCAAATCTGCGCATTTATATCTACAAGATATGATGCAATTAGAGAACTTGATGGTTCTGATAAATTAAATTGTGGAACTTCGACGGATATGGTGATTGAACAAACAATGATGAAGTGTCATTAGACGAAGAAATAATTGTTGAAGTAGAAATAGACAATTATCTTATATAATGATGACATGTAGTAAAAAACAACCTATTCCACTTTAATCTTTAGCAATATTACTATTCTTTCAATTAATAGGACACGATCTGATCAAACTTTCTTTATTACAATAGATCGTGGAGTATACTTACTGGGGAAACCACGTGAAAAAAATGAGCCATGTACATTACCTCATAGGTGGTGCGGAAATGTGTGCTATTATGTAAAATATGAATTTTCTGATGATTAAAACCGCGATATCTCATGAATGGTGAGTCGTAAGAAAATAAGTGACTGGACCATTTTTGTAGAGAATGGTATGATCTACAACTTTCGTCCGACCTATTTTCACGATAATACTTACTGTTTTCGAGAAAAATGGAAAAAACCTTAATTTATACTTTTGACCTGGAATAATTTTTTTTGCAGAAATAGGATCGAAGGGGAGTTTAGCTATTTCATTTATAATGATGTACTTAACGTCTCTAGCAAATTTTCAGCTCTATGCGAATTTTGGCTAAGTCAAATGTCAATTTTGACTGGACTAACAAGAAATTTTCTTTATTAAAGACATATCATTGTGTTTTGTGTGTTTACCATATACGTTTAGTTCGGGCAGCACTTCAAAGTCTTTCAGACAGTGGTCGGGCAGCGCATCCGTCTCCTCGAGAGCGTAAGCAGCTACCTCCGGGGGTAGCAGCTTGAGGGTCGTCTGCATCCACCACTCCGCGTACTTGTTCTCTCTACAAACAACGAACATGCCTTTGTAATATATTAAACTAGCTGCGCCCCGCGGTGTTACCCGCGGATTTCCGGGATGTCAAGTAGCCTATGTGTTATTCCTGGACGTCAGCTTCCTGTATACAAAATTTTATCAAAATCGGTTCAGCCGTTTGAGCGTGAAGGAGTAACAAACATACACTCACAAACTTTCGCAATTATAATATTAGTAGGATTTGTTTTATTACAAGTATTGCCAGAAATCGGTATCAGGATCTATGAGAAAATTAACAATCTCTACAACGAAAGGTTACGTTGGATGTTTCAAGACATGATCGGATCAGAATTACAATAACCAAAGAAATTCTCACAAGAACCGAGTGTAGAGGTTATTAAGTAGCGACAATATACTTGAAAACTAAGGTTGGTTACACACGAGGTGAAGCAAAGATCAAGTCAGTGTGATAGGTTTCAAGGTCACTGGAGGTTATTGAACCCAGTTGTTCTTCAACAATAGTATAGTACTGAGTTGTGTTTACCTGAACAGTTCTATATACATGTGCGCGAGGTCGGTGCGCGCGGCGGCCGCGTGTCTTAGCACGGCCGCGGCTAGCAGCAGTAGGGAACACGACACACGCGCCCCCGCAGACAACCACACCACGCGGGACCCACAGACGCCGCTACAACATACATTATACACAGTCATTAATATTCCATTGTCATTACATCAGCCTATTAGAGCCCACTGCTGTAAGGCCTCTTCTCACATGGAGAAGGTTTGAGCATTAATCACCACGCTTGTTTACGACGGGTTGGTAATTCAAACTTATAATTTGATAGCATAAAATCCGAGTTTCTTCATGTTTTCATTCATCAGTCAGTGATATCTAAATAATCTTAGAAAGTACATATGACTCGTATTATCACATTGGTACTTGCCAGAATCGAACCCGCGGCCTCATGCAAGAGACGCGGGCCTGTTAACCACTAGGCCATTACTACCCTAACGTTCCATGTTATATATATAGTATATATGTCACACTCACTCCACATGTTCGAGCGCAGCGTCCACCATCTCCTGTAACCTCACCAGCGTCTCGTCGTAGTAACACAGAGAGAACTCCGGCCGCGGACTGTCGTCTGAGCGGGCGCTCCACTCCGCTAACTTTTCAGCTGAAACATATATTATAACATATATATAACTAGCTTTCCACCCGCGTGGAGTTCGGCTATATCGCGTTTCCAAGAGAACCTTTCAAAAGTCTGGGATAAAAACTATCCTATGTTCTTTCTCAAGGTCAACTCTAATTCTGTACCAAATTTCATTAAAATCAGTTCAGTGGTTGACGCGTGAAAGCGCAATAGACAGACCGACGTAGGGTCATAGGGTTGCTAGACTAAAATAATATACGACTTCCTTTATTACAAGAATTGAATTTGTTGTCTATATATGTTCAAATATATCCTAAAGTTTCTAGGCACTGACGCCAACCCCCTCTCATTCAATTTTAACTTACACAAGAACAATAGAGAATATGTAAAGATGTGATCTTTGAAGGCGACTATATATTTAATGGCTGATGTTTGCATCGAATTTTCCCTTGTGAAAAACCGACTTGTGAAAACCATACCGAAAGTTTACATAGTCCAAAATAAGTAGCACTAAGTTGATACAAACAAAATTATTACTGTCATCCAAAATTTTAACAAGATAATTTACTAAGTGCTTCCAGTAACACCTACTATAATAAACATTACTTATAAGATACTATAGTATGTCACAACTACCAAATATATTATATTCTTCATATAATGCGATTGTTAATATTCCTACTATTTAAATAATACTTGTCCATAACTATATGTGACTGACTGACCGTCGTCCAGCACCATGTGTTTGCTGATGAGGTCGAGCGTGTAGAAGGCCAGGTACTTGTAAGCGTGGTGCGTCATCCGGTCCAACACTCGTATAGCGACGCTAGCTATGTTCTTTAACTCGGTGTCGCTCGTCCTCTTAACGTATTTGTAGTCCATGTGTTTGGTTGCTGTTATGAGGCTCGAAATGGTCGACACTCTACTAGAAGTCATGTGATCGTCCGCTGATTCTGTACATTAAATAAAGAATTTAACACTTATACTCAGTAATATATTATTTAATTGGTAAAAAGAGCATAAAGTATAATAATTATCACGCATCGATGGACGTGTAATATAAAACAGGTTTCCATAATCTACAAAAATCCTACTAATATTACGATTACGAAAGTCTGTGAGTATGTATGTATGTTACTTCTTTACGCTCAAACGGCTGAACTGATTTTGATAAAATTTTGTATACAGGAAGCTGACGTCCATGAATAAGACATAGGCTACTTTACAACCCGAAAATCCGCAGCTAATATGTATATTATATTTATCTCACTGAGCACGATGACGATCATCTCGAACAGGTTCTTGTTGATGTCTGGTAGGAAGATGTCCTTCCACTCGGTGATGAGCGCGGCCACGTGCGGCGCGGGCTGCTCCAACACACAGCGGCGAGGGAGCTGATTGATGAACGACGACACGCTCGAGAGGAGCTGCAGCACGGGACGGGCGAGGACTGACACCTGGAGGGAGGGGGGAGGTTTAATAATATTAAGGTTTAATATCTATCAAAATCCAAAAGTCAGTGGTGACGTAGTGGTTAAAGAGCCCGCCTCTCGTTGCCGAGGGTGCGGGTTCGATCCTGGCCCGGGCAAATACCAATGTGATTTTTCCGAGTCATATGTACTTTCTAAGTGTTTAGACATCACTGATTAATCCATTCCCAAAGAGGGTTGATGACAGGCAGGCAACTGGTCGTAAAAACAATTAGCCAAAACTATTCACAACATGTAAGGCAGACCCTGGCTATAGCCAGGTGAGAAGAAGTATCTATCATCATCCATTAAAAAATTCGTGCAGCAACAGTTTGTTCTTCCAACAACAGTTGTGATCGTTTTTTCTTCTGTTTGTTTTAAACCTTTTGTTTAGTTGAGTCAGTCGATAATGTTTATATATATCCTTTATTGCACTTAAACAAGACATTACAGAAAATAACACAATAGAAAGAACATAAACAAAGGCGGACTTTTCTCTAAAAGAGATCTCTTACAGTTAATTTATGGAGGTGAGTGATAAGAGTCATACAGAGGGCGACACAGTGCTGACTAAAATGAGATAGTTTTAATATACAATATAAAATAATATATACACACACATTTATATATATACATGTTGCCTACCTTAGTTGCCTCCCATCCCTCAGCGCTGTTCCTCAGCGAGGTGATGAGCGAGCAGAGCGTGATGGTGGTGAAGTCCCACTCCGCGGCGGACAGGTCCCAGCCTCGCTCCACACACTCTGTGAGGAAGTCCACGATGGACGCGTTGCTTATTATTTGACTCCACGGCGCCGTCAGCAACTCTCTGCGTATCGAAATAATAATATTATGAAACAAGTCAGTAAAACCGTCAACCTAGCTTACCAGTTCTCCCAAAGACTAGTACAAAATTTGCAAAAAAAGGATATTACATCTGAGGGAGCACAACTTTACAACCAATTACCGTCTACTATAAGAAATGGAAGCTCAATTAACGAATTTAAATCTCAACTTTCACAACATATTTTAGAAAATAATTGATAAACCAACGATGTAACACACTTGTAATAATATCTTACTATCTTTAATTGAGTTCCAAATAATCTGGCGACTACTTTTTGTATTTTCACTTTTGTATGTATGTTCTCATGTGACTATCTTGTTTTGAGAATAAATTCTTTAAACCTAATATTATCCCTACTAATATTATAAATGCGAAAGTAACTCTGTCTGTCTGTCTGTCTGTCTGTCTGTCTGTCTGTCTGTCTGTCTGCTACGCTTTCACGCCTAAACCACTGAACTGATTTTAATGAAATTCGGTACAGAGATAGAGTTGACCTTGAGAAAGAACATAGGATAGTTTTTATCCCAGACTTTTGAAAGGTTCTCTTGGAAACGCGATATAACCGAACTCCACGCGGCGAAGCTGCGGGCGGAAAGCTAGTATTATATAAAACAACAATCTTAAACGAAATCAGCTAGATGACTTTTCAATGCGTGAAATGACTGAATCTTCATTAAACTTCTCTCCTCATTATTGTTTCAATTTAGTTTTTGTGTTTAAATCAAGTATAATGAAGCAACTGTTATATCGTTTAGTATATAGAATGGAAATATGTTTATTTGGTTTTAACTTTGGTTGATACTGTCATTGCGTAGCAACAAGGGAGACAGCGGAAAATTAGCAGAGATAAAAACCCTGATAGCCTGAGCTGTCTCCTCTTGACTGCACACAAGTTTTATATCAATTATAGTTACTTTCTTTATTTTTGTAATGTCGTTTTTATATCCTTTTTTGTATAATTTTTTTTGTGTGTATGTCAATAAATGTCTGTTCTTTCTTTCTTTCAACTGTATTTATATACTATATAATGAAGAATCCCTTATATAAGTATTCCCTATCTACCTCTCATACAACATAACGTGGTTGTGTGTGTAGTATAGGTCCACGGGTGTGTGTGTGGCGCCCCAGCCCGAGGACAGCGCTGCTCGCAGTACGTCCGGCTCGTGAGTGTGAGCCGCGAACACGCTGCGTAACATAACCATGTAGCGAGTACGTTGGACCCCGCCGCGCTCCGCCTGACGAACGAAACTATTATATAAGTATAACTAATATTTTGCATATATGACCAACGGCGAAACAATTGTATAAGAAATTTAGAGGAACTACTATTTTTCATATATACTACGCTGCTTTTTTGTAAAAAAACTACATAGCAATGTGATCACGGTCAGAACAGCTTGCTAAAAAGTAACCGAAACCTATTTTATTTTATTTATTCATTAACACCAACAAGACATACATTAATAAAAGCGAAAAATACATTATTGAACAGGTAATCATAAAATCAAAATGTTGTCTTAATTATAGGTGTTACACACATTTCAAATAAAAATAGACACGTAACATGCATATAAAATTATATTACATTAATTGCACAAAGGAAAATTAGAAAAAAAAATACTAATAATAATCATTAATCATCAACATAAACTTCGGAAGTATGTAGTTTTTTACAAAAAAGCACGCGTATTATATCCGAAATAGATTCGTTTCACTTATATGATGAAAACTGCGAAATCATAGATCTCATTAGACTCAATCATAGAAGATTTAAAGAAAACGTGATAACCTCACCTGTAAGCTATGGAAGAATCCGTTTCCAGTCATGATATCCTTTAACTTGTCTATACACATAGAGTCCAGTACTTCTTTAGCCAGCTCAGCCTCAACCCTAACCTCCTTCTCGTCTTCACAGATGGGTTCATTGTCCGGGTTCATCTTCACGTACTCTTTAACCTTATCGTCGAACAGCCTGGTTGCGTACGACCAGTAGTAACCCTTGGAGGCCGCCTGCTCCGACAAGTATATCAACAGAGACGCCTTGTGTTTGTACGGCGTCTTAGTGAATATATCGTCTAAAACAACGTCCATACGGTTCTTGGTATCGTATATAATCTCATAGTGGCACCACTGAAACAAAATGCATGTTATTTTTTGGTATATTTTTAGGTAAAATAGGTAAAATAGAATGATACTCACGAAGGCGTATCGATCAAACAGAGTTTTTATTATGACGTATTCATACAGACAGAGCGCGTATTGTTCTCTGAAGAACACATCCGCCATGACGTCCGCGTGACGCGTGACGATCGCTTGTATGAAGAACGATCTGAACAGACTCTTATATACGTGCACCATAAGGTCCATTTTTGAGAGCTCCGCGTGGTCCATATCAGATGTAGTGACGATGGTTTTGATGACGTCATTATCGTCTTCTATAGGGCAGTTGATGTTCCCGAAGATACAGTCGCATCTCAAAGCGAATACTTCTAGCGGGACGGTCGGTCGTAGCTGGTCGTCAGTTAGTACACGAGTGAGGGAAGAAAGATAACTCGTGTCAGTAGGGATAGACTCGCTCGGTAACAACACGTACGGACATAAAGACGCTACGTGCTCTATACGACTCATGTTTAGTTCCTCTATGCTGAAAAATATATAAGTGTTTTTGGTTTATAAACTTAAGTCTTGGGCGAGGCAGGTACAATCAGATGTTTTGATTACGTTCAAATTGACATGTCCAAAAAAATTCTCTTAATGGTCCCATTGCAATTATTTTTTGGCAAAAAATTTCTAAAGTTCCTTAAGTATTGAAAATTCAACAATTTAATTCAATTTTCCAAATGGTGGTACCTCTGAACATTATATTTTATGATAACGAATTGACTATGATTTAATATTATAATTTTGTTAGTATTCTCACTCATGGTAGAGCCAGTTCCTCGCCCTACGGAGCGCCTCTGATGAAGACTCACGACCCAACACGCACACACAGTCGAGTAGCGAGGAACGAAGAGAAGATGAATTCTGATACACATATACAGATGATTACACTATTGTATTATATTTGTGTGTCTAAGGTAATTTTAGTATGATCGAAAAAACTGCAAGAATCTGTGAATCTTATTTATATCTGTTAACACAATACTATGATGGCATTTAAATATAAATATATTGTAGTCGTATCTGTTATTCCTACTAATATTATAAACTATTCATATTATAAATGCGAAAGTAACTCTGTCTGTCTGTTACGCTTTCACGCCTAAACCAATGAACTGATTTTAATGAAATTTGGTACAGACATAGAGTTGACTTTGAGAAAGAACATAGGATAGTTTTTATCCCAGAATTTTAAAAGGTTCTCTTGGAAACGCGATATAACCGAACTTCACGCGGACGGAAAGGTAAAATATACAGGGTGACTGGTGAATTACTATCAATATTTAAGGAGAATACTCGGTACATGATTCTCATTCGAATTATATAAAAAAAATAGGCACTTAATTTTTGTCAAAATTTCCGTATAAATAAATAAAGTGTTGACACGTTCCAAGTGTTCCAAGTGTGAACGCGTGCGGCGGCGTGCTGATACAACACCACGCCGCGCGCGCGTATGTGTGAGTGTGTGTGTATACCTAATCTGTAGGGTGTGCACACGATGCGTAATTAATTACACAACTTTTGGTTAACTTTACTTATAAGTTTATTAATATTTATGTTATATTAATTTTTATTTTGTCATATATGATCGTCAAATATCACGTCCTCAAGTATCGATAGTAATTCACCAGTCACCCTGTAGAAGTATTGAACTAAAATTATAAGTAGTTCAACTGACCGGATGTTTCAACACAAGTTCGAACATAGTGAGCACCAGTTGTTGACAACGATCAGTGAGGAGTGTGGTGTGGAGCGAGAGGAGCAGAGATGACACTAAAGACGACACGTGGAGCGGCGGAGGAGAACACATGGAGGACGACAACACACGCAACACACACGACGCTGTGGACTCACTCACGGGCAGCTCTGAAATATAAAGAATATTTACCAGAATATATAATATATAGTATAATAAATACTGTTTTAGTTAGTAATTAATATTTAAAATGTTTGTCATCTTATTGTATTGATATAATTGTAGTTTTTTTTTTCTTCACTTTGTTTAAAATTTATTCTTACAGATTCTTTTAAATGTTTGAGTGCAGTGTTTAGTTACCTTTGTTAACATGTAAGTAGTAAAAGGTCAATATCTGTAATGGTGTATCACACTGTACAAGTTTTCTTTCTTATATTTTTTTCGACATATGGTTTGTGAATATGCCGATGGTATTTCCAAAATAAATAAATAAATATACTTATATGTATGTACATAAAAATGTAAAAAATAAAGTCACGTAGTAAAATCCCAAAAATATTAGTTTCATTTAAATGAATACTCGCGAAAATCTTAGATCTCATTATCTTATATATAAAATTCTCGTGTCACGATGTTAGACAGAGAACTCCTCCGAAACGGATGGACTGATTTTGATGAAATTTTGTGAACATATTGAGTAGGTCTGAGAATCGGCCAATCTATTTTTTATAGCCCTAAGTCATAAGAGTTGTTCACACTTAATTATTTTTTTAATTATAAGATTTTCACTAATACACGTGGAACGAAACTAGGATTTACGGATTTTTGTTCGTGTTTTATTATTCGCCCGACGTTTTATATTTTGTTTAGCAGTAACCGCAACTAAGGGAAGATGATGAGAAAATTTAATCGTATAAGTAACGGAAAATCGATCTATTGATTGAAACACCTTATATAGGTCGATTTATATGAAGACACAATAGCTCAATTGTTAAACCTGTAAAGATATCCGGAGTCACAGGTTCGAATATTGTCCATCACTAGAATATTTTTACTTAAAGTATTAGTATATATGTACGAACCTCCATCTTTATTGACAGTCATACATTCCAGTAATAGTTCCCTGGCCGAGGGGTCTTCGGGTCGCCTGCTAAGTCCCACAACGGCCGCCTCGCAGACCGGCCCACGCAGCCATCTCGCTCCAACAGACGAGGATTCACGTGAGAGTGACAAAGACGGAGATAGACACCACTCCACCACTTGAGGAGGAAACTGAAGAAGAGACTTATTACTAAGACGATTGAGTTACATTTGGCATTTACAAACCATATGTCACAATAATATATGCAACTTCTACGAATTCTTTTTATCACTTCATAAGATATATTTAGTATGAGCCATAAGATTTTGTCCTATTACCTGTTGGAAGGAGTCGTACATGGCTTCGAGTTCTGCTTCATTCAAATATTTAGCCAGAGTGAACATCACGTCGACCAGATCTTTACACCTCATAGTGTCTCCGGACAGCCAACTCTTAAGAACTTTATCGTAAAAACCAAATATGTTCTGGCAATCAAAGTGCCTCGCCAGCGATTGAAACAGCCGCTCACACTCAAACTCATTCAACAGAGTCTGCAGGGCCGGGAACACTGATCTGGAGACTTGCTTCGTCTGAGCAAAATTGAAATAACCACAACACGTGCTGTCCACAATTTCGTATAAATTGTGTTCAAACCGCTCCTGTAGTCTTTCGTCTAAATCCATTTTAATAGTCTCCTTTTCAGTTTTGTCATCTTCGTCAGCGAATTTGATGCACCGCTGTTGTTTATTATCCTCGTTGTATCCTGTCTTCAATGATTTCAACATTAAAGTGTGATATTCGATCGAGTTCTTAATATCACATTCTTCAAAGGACATTTTGTCTATCTGTGAGGCGATCGTGGAGCCGATGTTCTGCCAGTAATTTCTTATGAGTTGGTCGTATTTCTCGTTATTGAATTCTTTGGAGTGTTGTAGCCAGTTTTTGACTAATATCGCCATTTGTGTGGCGGAGTGTTTGATCATATTGGTTCTTGTCAGCTTGTCTTGTATCGTAGCGATCAGTTCAAGCCAAGTTCTATGTACTCCTGTAATAACTTCAACGACCCAGTCATCATTCTGTTCGCTCACATACTTCATACATTCCGCTATGTTTGATATCCACCACTGCCTCTCACTCCTCGAACTTAGTAGATTTTTGTTTTTAAGACTGAAAAATATATTAATGGATGATAAATATCAATAGGCTATTATTGCAATGTGTTCTAAGGCCTCGGCCTCGAAACTCGCGGGTAGCGGGGCGGCAGCGGGAGCGGCAGGATCATACGCGTATAATCAAATGGACCGACCCTCGAATACAGCGGTGCCCGCTGCCCGCTAGTTTGGAGAATAGTATGCGTTTCCGTGCCGCCGCCGCTGCCGCTCCGCTGCCCGCAAAATTCGAGGCCGAGGCCTAAAAGTGATGATAATCGGATTTTTGTAGTTCGTAAAATTATTAAGATATATTTTTTTAGTTACGTCATATATCTCATAAGCTGTGCATAAAATTTATGTGAATCATGTATTCAAAGAAAACATGGGCAAAATGTTTCGACTTGCTGAAGGGTCGAGTGGAAAATTTAATTTAATTACAATTATCTTATTGCATATTGACCAACACTATTTTTGGATCACATCGATTATAAAATATCACACAAAAGGAATCATTTACATTTTGGTTCTTAGGAATACAAAACTATGAAATTCTTTAAATAGTCTGAAATTATGTTAAAAGAACATTCATATCAATAATTTGTATAGAGTTTATATGAGGTACCATCTATATCACACTAATATTATTTCCTCTCACCCCTTGAATGCGGCGTCAAAGAAAGTCGACCAGAAGTCCCTGGTTTTCATATCGCGAGGCAGAGACGACAGCAGCCCGCGGAGAGACTCACATAGTACACGACACTCCCCGCCACCACCTACACACACACACACACACACACACATACATTAATATATAATAATTGAAAACAATCGGTACTTGATACATAAATAATATAGCAAATTATTTCAAAAAACTATCATCATTAGCCTATCAGAGCCCACTGCTCAGCAAAGGCCTCTCACATGGAGGTTTAAGCATTAATCACCACGCTTGCTCAAGACGGGTTGGTGATTTCAAACTTATAATTTGAAATTTAAGTGCACGTTTCCTCACGATGTTTTTCTTCATCAGTCAGTGATGTCTAAATATTCTTAGAAAGTACATATGACTCGGAAAAATCACATTGGTACTTGCCAGGTTTCGAACCCGCGCCCTTATTCACGAAACGCGGGCCTCTAGGCCACAGCCACATACCATTAAATTACATGTTTCATATATATTTTATGATGTATTGGTGCTTATATTATACTAGCTTTCCGCCCGCAGCTCCGCCCGCAGCTCCGCCCGCGTCAAGTTCGGTTATATCGCGTTTCCAAAAAAAACCTTTTCAAAAGTGTGGGATAAAAACTATCCTATGTTCTTTCTCAAGGTCAACTCTATATCTGTACCAAATTTCATCAAAATCAGTTCAGTGGTTTAGGCGTGAAAGTGTAACAGACAGACAGACGGACAGAGTTACTTTCGATTATTTATGATATTAATATCATATAATATTCAAACTCACCATTCTCCAGTACACCTATCATTCTCTTCACCAGAAGATCCTTCTTGTCCAACCACTCGTGCCAATTCTGAATGGAATAATTATATTAATTCACAAGCATTCATTAAACTAGTCTTAATATATAAAATACTAGAAGACCCGGCGAACTTCGTATCGCCCTATAATCAAGAAATATCTGTTACGTTTTTTTGTTTATATTTTTGGAGTTTACTTATTAAAGCCATAAATCTCAGTGTTTTGAAGTGCGACAGAATGATTGACGTATTAGTTAGTTGTCAAATCTAAAGTTAAAAAAAAAAGTTGGTATCAACAACTACTAATAAATTAAAAAATTGTGAATCTAAACCATTCCCAGATCCCCTTGAACACACACAAAAAATTTCACCAAAAATGGTCCTGTGGTTTGAGAGAAGTTCAGTGATATACACACTCACAGAAGAATTATATACATAAAGATTTCTGTATGTACCGGGTGAGTGTTAGCTATCATCAACATGGCGGTCCAGGGCGAAGCGCCGGACTCTGGCTTGTTCGTGAGCGCCTTCAGTAGGCGGCGGGAGTGACTCGGGGGCGGAGCCCTAGGGTACACGGACCATAGGGTACCCATACATGAGTACCATGAGTATCTATGGAGTGGGGAAGGGGTAGTTTAGTCAGAAGAACTGACATATAGTCTAGTGATAATAGACTCACACTAAACAATTAATATCAAAATAAAACAAATATTTTTTTTTTACTACGCATATATTACATATTATTGTAAAATTACATGCTCCCGATGTTTTGGTTGTATGTAGTATTTACAATAATAAAATACGTGAAGTATACACCGAAAAATATTAGTTTCATTTAAATGTATACACGAAAATCTTATATCTCATTACAATTAATTAAGCGCTTCTATATTCACCTGACATGTTGTGATTCATGTGTGGCTAATTTCCAGAAGGTGTTATTCCCTAGCAGGTGTTCCAGCTGTTCCCTCAACCAGTCCAGCTGTTCCTCCAGCTGTTCTATATTTTGCAGGTGTTCTGTTAGTTTCAACAGCACGGCTTTTAGGGCTAGCAAGCTGCAACCAAGCAGGCGAGACACCTGCATGCCACGCTCCTCAACATCCTCCACCCTGATGAGATAAATATTAGGATGATTCGTATTATTGCAAGATACACACACACACACATACACATACACACACTCATACATAGGCTCGCACAAGCACACGCACACATACATATATATATTATTTTATTTATTTTATTTAATAGGAAGGGAACGTGATACACAAAAACTTATAACTACATTATAACATCATGGAACTTAATTTTTCAGTAGCGTATCATCACTTACAGGCTAACTCAACATGGGTTACATAATGTTTAGATCTTACTCCAAAACTTACTAGATACAATAAAAAAATGGTGAAAAAAATATGTATAAAACAAGAAAAAAAAAAAAAATCTAAAAACAGCTATATAAAAAGAAATTTGTGAAAAGTTGTGGCATGAAGAAAAAAAGTTGTGGCATGACGTATTACTGAGAAAGGAAATGTTTTTTAATTTTACTTTTGTACAAACTCAAGCTATCATTAAAAATGTCTAGGTTTGCTTTACACTCAATATCATTATAACATTTAATGATTCTACTTATTATATACAATAAACTCACTTGTTACTGAGCATAGCCTCTGCATTCCCAGTCAAGTTGTCTATAAGTAATGAAAGGATTTCCGACTTGCAGAATGATATGGCTTCAGCTAATTTTCCATCAGGGAATGTGTTCTGGTAGGAAGAAATTATTTAGTGAGTATATAATTAAAAACATGTTAATATTTTATTTTCGCTAAATTTTAACAAAAACTATAGATAAACTTATGAAAATTCTCAAATCGTTTTATTATGTATGATATTTTAGAATAAAAAAGATTAAATATGGTACCATAAAGTAAATGTATGATAACTATATCTTATATATAAAATTCTCGTGTCGCGGTTAGACAGAGAACTCCTCCGAAACGGTTGGACCGATTTTGATGAAATTTTGTGAGCACATTGACTAGGTCTGAGAATCCTAAGTCATAAAAGTTGCTCACACTAAATTTTTTTTCCGGACGAAAATTTTTTGTTTTTATTTTTTTAGCATAAATAATACATACAACCCAAAATTTTTACTTTTTTATCACCGACCCCTATTTTTTATATGGCAAAACAACGTTTTCGGGACAGCTAGTATAACAATAATATGTGAGTGAGTGAGTGAGTATTATTATTTATTACCAACCTGAAGACTATTAAGAGCAGCCGTCTGAGCCGGTCCATGGTCGTCTACACTGGCTAGTAACCAGGCGGGGAGAATACGCCGCAGTATTGGAGCAACGCGACGACCACATGTAGATATGACTGCACTATGACATATCTGGCAATATGACAGATTATTTACATTATAGTAGTAGAATTTGTAACGATAAGGCTCAAAAGGACTGGTATGGTAAAAAAATCGGCATTATAACTGAGATTTTAGTTTTTTTTGGTGTAAACACAAAATTACTGTAAATTTTAAAAATATGAGTACTTATTGTATAAACCTTGTGAGTGGTGTGATTAGATAGGATTATATTTATTATTGAGTGCTTTGGATCACAAGGGTTGTGGAGAATTAGCTTAACTAAACAACTCAATTAATGGCTCAATTATATGAATATAGCACTTTAACTATCAACAGTTAAAAGAATTTGGTGAAATATGTACTAATGAACTTCAGTACTAAAGCCATCCAATGTTACTAATAGATAGAATCTGATTTCATTATTGAGTAAACAATTTCACATATTTTTGGATATACAAACTAATTAGTCTGAACATATGAATATACCTTTATCCACAAGTTCAATGTCTCAATGACTACCAAGTGATTAACATTGGAATTTTGATTCAGAAGCAATGACCACATATACAGCATACCATCTACTTAGTGTTAAATGTTAAAATAATATGTTAAAATGTTCAATGTTAAAATGTTAATATGTTAAAATGTGAAATGTTAATGTTAAAATAAATATGTAGTAAAATGAATAATGTACGGAAAATTTAAGATAAATGTGAATTGTTAAATAGGATTAGGGCAAATAATTGTAAATAATGAAAAAATTAAAAATAAATTGTAAAATAGATTTCTTGCAACTGTTAAATGTAAACTGGAAATGTATGAAGTCATCAAGGACAATGTAATAAGAAATCAAAGATGAAAATATACTCCCCAAACATCCCAATGCAACAAATAATATATAAGAGTATATAAGTCAGGTACACTATAGTAAAGGTTATACACCTAGGAATGAAAAAGAAGTATGACAGAAAGATAGTAAGCGGAATGAAAGGCCCTAGCAAAAGAGAGAACTAGGATGAAAGTGTTGAAGCACAAAAGGTCTCTGACCAAGTGAGAGGGACTAGAATAATATAAAAAAAAAAATACTTAGAAGATTGTTTTATATTTCAAAATTATGTTATTGATATAACTGAGTAAATCTTCACTTTGTAGGGAGTGTTATGTTATATGTGTACTTGTACAGTTATTTTACAATAAATATTATAACTTTGCCAAATATTCTGAAGAAAATGGAATAATATTATATATGTTATACTAACCTGTGCAGTTTCTCGTACTTGTCTGTCACCATCTACTGTGAGTGTTTGGTAGATGTTAGCCCAGCTCGGCAGTGCTGATACCACTTCTTCTTTATCACCATTTTTAACTAGTTCAGTCAGCTCTTGTAAGGCCTGGAATGATTTTTGTTATTTGATATTAAAATAAGTTACCTTTAATCACTAGTTTTTATCATAAAATATGTTTTTATAACAACATTATCCTCTTGTGTCGTATCTGGGTGGCGTTTCAGGATGATCACACACTGCTTTGACAATGTTTAGTTTTAAACGTATTTTGCGGTGAATATAGTGATTACTCTTTTGCACTTACTAAAATCGGGTTAAGAAAGAATGACCTCTCACTCTAAAATATAAATAAACATGTCTATGGTACAAAAAAAGTGGCTTTTGAAGAGTTGGTTTTTTTGAACAAGGTTAAGAAACAGCTCCAGTGAAAAAAAAATGTATGTAGGGTATACTATTTGATTTTGAATTTTATTTTAAACACAAGACTGTAAATAAATAATAAAATATTACATCCAGTTATTCTTTTGTTTTGTATATATGGGAAAATTAAAGTTACGTTTTAGGAGACCCATATACTTTCTAAGAGAACAGATACAATGCAATATAAAATCAAGCTTAAATGGTGTAGGAAGGTAAAGAAATATATCTTTAGTATAAAATAAACTAATTTTCATAAATTTTAACTAGATTTTGAAATAAAATGGTTTTTCCAGACTTAGGTCTCAAAAATTAGTGCACAAACCCCTGTCTGTGAGAGTGTCCTGTATTGGGACCCACAGATGCACTGATTTTGACATTTATACAGTTAACATACTAGAGGTTATAGAAACCCCAGCACACCTAATTGAGGTTATGAAAAAAAATATTACCTTAGTTTTAGTGACGGGATCTTTTTTGTGGAACTTTTTGAAACACACTGCATATTCTGGACTGAGGCCTTGGTCGATTGGTGTTGTTGTAAGTGTTGGAAACAAAGCCGGAAGAACTTTCCCAGACCCTGTTATAATGTATGATGAATCCAATTTCAGACTGTTGCTAAGTATTTCTGCACTTCTGCCACTACTTGAGGGCTGGAAAAATGAAAAGAAACGTAAAACAATTCACCAAAAGTATCTCCTAAATTCACGGAACAGATTTATGTCACTTGGTTTTACGTGTTTTCAGATTAAATTATGACGAATTTTATGTGAAAAAAAATAAAGCAATAGATCCGCAGTATGGTAAAATGTTATATGCAGTACTTACCCGAACATTATTCTTAGTTCTCTGGCTCTGTTTGGTTTTTCCACCCATAATAGATTTGTTGTATTCTTAATACAAAAATTTTCAAGTACCTTTATAGTGCCTACATCTAAAATTTTATAATAAATAATTTGTTTTAAAGAAATTGCAAAATTATTGACAAGTCAAACGTATGCACTTGACAAATAATTATTGACATTGACATTTGACTTTTGTAATAATTAAACTGACATAAAGCCATCCTGTCATGAATAAATTGTTATGGTAGTTTTAGATGTAGATAAAATAAAACACATTTTTATTTTGTCTACTTTGTTCTATATATTTATTGAGGAACTCATTTTATGGGAGTCTTAATTAGGAACAGAATTAACATTTACTTACTACAATATTTATAATGCATTCAAGGACTGTATAAATGAAGACTATTGAAAAGAAAAAAATGTTTATATCGTGTGAAAATATATATTTTTTATTTAGTATTATAAGTAATTTAGTATTTAGTACTACCACTTCGTTTTTTGTAAGATATTGTTATGAAAAATCTGGCATGTAAATTGTTATCTATAATAAAATGTTGTTTGAAAATACATTCTTAAAAATTTTTGTTTTTGGGAAGGACAGCAATTAGATCAATGTTGATCAACTGATTAATCACTTTCATGATGAAACCGATTCTATGATCGTACACACGTTTTTAATATTCTGTTTATTGTAACTATCAAGTAGTTACACCATATTTACTTGGAAGAACAATTATTATTACATTTTCCTTTTGTTTTTACATTTATTAAATTTATTTTACATCATAACAAGGTGTTTAAAAAGCCCTTACCTTACTTTTGTTTTCTTGTCTCTATCTTTGGCTGGTTATCGCTGCCGTTAATTTTGATTTAAGTTACTAAGAATATAAACCCGTGCAGAAGCCTTTAAAATTAATGAAAAATGAAAATAAATTATAGTCGAATGAAACTCATTAGAAAAGGAGTGGAATATTATAAAAATTAGAGGAAAAATAATTTACGGGCGATCTGAGGTCGAGAAGGGTATGGGGATGGGTATTTAAGGAGAAAAAATGGGTTTTCTCGATTTTCTACAAAAATTAAAGTCCTACGGAAAAAAGTTATATGGTAAAGTTGTAGGTAATAAAAAGATCTAAAACTTTTGTACTAACATTTTTTTCACATAACCTTAAAATTTATGTCAAAAATTCGAAAAACCTAGTTTTTTGTTTTTTATTTTTATCTCAACCAAAAAACATTTTTTTTTGTAACGAAATTTGGTGAAAACTTTCCTTTTGATGTTACAAATGCATTGTAATTAATTTGATTAGAAATATTCAAAATAGTTTTAGCAGCTTAAAGTAAATTTTACTTCTAAATCAGAATCTAATATTAGAGAGTTGACGACGATTGCTATAACTAACCTGTCAGTCTCTAACCTGTAAACCACATCACTAACATGTTGGAAACTAACAACTTTCGTTGCTACACCAGTCACAAAACAGATGTCGTTTTTATGCATGTTTTAGAATATAGATAACAAACGATCTTGAATTTCGAAATTGAAGAATAATAAAACAATAAAAAAGATTTTAAACCACGTTTATACTGAGAGTGAGATTACTTTCATTGTACCAAACATGCATTCAACATCACGTGCACAAAGTCTCTTATCCCTGGATCAGTGAGTGTAAGAACACTTTCTTTTTTTCTTCACCCGACTTTTGACAATTCCGATGGTTAATGAGTGAATTGTAACGTGCTGTTAGATTGACTGGAACCTTTAGGCCTTTGAAGAAACGGGGCTCCAAGTGTGACTTGCTATTCTTTTATTATTTCACTCTTCACCTTACCTCTTATATTGAAGATATTCATCTGAAATGGCAGCCATTGTCCACCATATGTAGAGTCTTCTATGTGTTATACAAAATATTAAATTCGATATATCTCTTTTGATATGATAATGATTCTTTGAGCTCGATTCCATGGATGGATTTTTTTTTGTGTATACATGAATGCAATTGATTTGTAAAATGGATTTCATTTTTATTGTATTGTTTTAAAGGTAAAGTCATTCAAATAAACTATCTTCCACACTAAACACCTGTCTTATACATTTTATGTGATGTACTAAGAGGTAGAGGGGTTTACTTAAATAATAAATTATTTTGCATTGAAATGTCAATATATATATTTTTAATATTCATAAATTCAATATACATTATAATATCAAGTAAAATGAATTATTATATTTTTTATAGGCAATATTTTAACACAGTTTAATCTATGGTTAAGTTTAACAATCTATCAATCTATGTACCTTACAATAACAAGTGACTGCCACATGGCAACACACTTACAACAAACATGGCAATAGGAATTCACTTTGGCCTAACGTATCACTATATTTATAAGGAAAAAATACTTCTCTGCAATATTATATTGCACAAGAACATAACTAAACATGCCACAGTACATACGCCTTTACTTATTATATATCATTTACATGTAAGCATTAAAATTATTGGCACAACTTAAACTAAACTAGATGGGAGTCTATATGTTACAGTTTCCACATCTCAGAGTATCATTAATTAATCTTTGGTTTATCTAGCCCACCGGTGATAATTTGGAAATCACTTACATTAAAATTATAATTAATAAAATATGAAAGGTCAAACAGGATCCTTTAATACAACTACGCTATCAATAATTTCATATAATTTAATACATTTTTTGCGCGGGACGATAAACATCAACGAATACTGTTTACAAATAATCTTTTTCATAGACATCGATTTTTTTAAGTGATCATGTATGGTTACAGGTAATAAACTAAAGTATATTTGCCCTATGTGTCATGTGACTTTATATCAGTTAAAATATAATGCATTAAGGTACAATATAAATGTATAAATAATTTATAACTACTCTCGAATACTGTCGCCCGGACGTCGCTCGTCGTTCAGTACAAACGACATTGACGGCGATAATTTATGTAATTCGTTGATTAGAAACCTTCAAAAATTAACAATATCTACTTATTTCATATAAATAGATAAATCATTAGGTATCTCTTACAAATATTATGAATAGGAACTCTGTTCTATCATACTGTAGCTTTGGTACATGTGAAACATTACCGGTCTATTGTTGCTTGTGATCGAACACTCGTACCTAAATACGAGGGCTGCTATATATATTTCTGGCCTAATAATGAAAATACGAATATTTATCAACGAAAATGGTTTTATTGTTTTTCAAAATATTCTCCATCAAGATTTATACACTTTTGCATGCGCTCGAACCAATTTTCGAAGCACTTTTTCCACTCCGATTGAGACACCTCCAAAACATGGTTTTTGAATGCTTCAACAGCATCTTCTGGCGACGAAAATCGTTGTCCACGCATTTTTTTCTTGATGTGTGGGAATAAAAAGAAGTCATTGGGTGCCAAGTCAGGGCTGTACGGCGGATGACCCATCACTTCGACGTTTTGGCCGGTCAAAAAGGCGCTGGTTTGAGCCGATGTGTGAGAGCTCGCATTGTCATGGTGCACAATGATTCGTCTTCTCTTGTTCATTTTTCGAATTTCTCCGAAGACTTCAGGCAAACAAATGGTGGTATACCACTCAGAATTGACCGTCCTACGTTGCTCAAGCGGAACAGTCGCCACATGACCAGTTTTGCCGAAGAAACAGGCGACCATTTGCTTCGAAGTGCTTCTTCCACGAACAACTTTCGTTGGATTTGGCTCGTCTTGGAAGACCCACACGGTCGATTGCTGTTTTGTTTCGGGCTCATACGCATAGATCCATGATTCGTCACCTGTGACGATCTTATAAACGTCTTTTGAAGCACCGCGATCATATTTTTTCAGCATTTCTTTACACCAATCCACACGAGCTTTCTTTTGAGCGATTGTCAAATTGTGCGGGATCCAACGAGAACAAACCTTTTTTACGGCCAGGTGTTCATGCAATATCGAATGTATGCTGGTGGGAGAAATGCCTAGGCATGCCTCTATCTCACGGTAAGTCACATGACGGTCTTGCATTATCAGTTCACGTACGGCATCGATGTTTTCTGGCACAACGGCTGTTTTTGGACGACCTTCACGGAATTCGTCTTTGAGCGAGCGTCGGCCACGATTGAATTCGTTGTACCAGTTTTTCACAGTGCTATAGGATGGTGCTTCGTCGCCATACAAAGATTTAAGTTCATCGATGCACTCTTGTCGTGATAATCCACGTCGAAAGTTGTGAAAAATGATCGCACGAAAATGTTCACGAGTTAATTCCATTTTTTTGCCAAATTGATTTCTTCAAGTACTTGTAAAAGAAAAAAAAAATTGTCGTAAGTCAAAAAGTTCTGAGTACATTTATGCTAAAAAATGTCAAACTTTCCAATGGAAATGCCAGATTGCACCTGGCAACACTTAGTGTTGCCTAGGCCAGAAATATATATAGCAGCCCTCGTATATTAAGTACATCGAATAAATAATTCTATATCGATTGAAATGCAAATATAATAATTCGTTAGAACTTTGACGTGTATCGCAGATACTTAACAAATATTTGTATTACGGGAATTATATAAAAAATAATAATATAATAATATATATATTCAAATATACAGATGTCCATAATTCATTATTGTCTCTTATTCATTGTTTAAAGTACACCACGCGTTACCTTACCTAAAGTGTTCCAATACATTTAACTTTTAAGCGATCATATTTACATATAAAATCTCCCTATATTTACAACATATTGTTTATTTACACGTATTATATACTTATCTTTGGATTAATAGAAAGAGTTTTAAACAGCAGAGATCCCACAGGAGTATTATGGAATGCTTTAAACTTACGCGAGAACTAACTAGACACTTAGCGCTAAAATACAAGAAGCTTAGAGATTTTAATTTAGTATAGATTAAGAAGTGCTTTATGATAAATTTTGATACACGAAATATTTTATAGGTACTGACACTAATAAGAAAGTCGTGAGGGTGTCGTAATGTTAATGAACAGTTATTAGGTGTACTTCTAAACGTGTGTCGTCTTTGGTATATATTATAAAATTAATGACAATATTTTAACACAACTACATACAAAGATATATTGTCATAGCTAATTTAATATTTTTTTCTGTTTCACCAATAAAATTTTTCAATTTAATATATCAACTAGGTAATACGAGATTACTCTTAACTTAATTATATAATTTCACAGAAATATAAAAATAATATAGTAAAATGTTTTGAGTATTATGCTAGGTACTGGCGTGAATTAACACAAAATTATAATTATCTTAAAAAATAATTTTTTTGGCATATGAAATGGCACAAAAGGTTTCTTTGGTACATTTGGCACTAGTTACTATATAAATAGGCATTGTTAAATACGTGGATATCGTACGTATGATGTTGAGCAAAATTTAAATTACAATATTCCGAAAAGAAAATACCGAGCTAGAATACTTTGTGACGTAACAGTTATGTGATTTTTCGATGTCCTTTAACATTCGTTGTGATTTAAAATCGAACAGATTTTAATTTAAGATCAGATTATTTATAATTTAACAAAAATAAAATTTCAGACGTATTACTAAGTAACAGCCTTGCAAAATAAAATTCGTCACATTCAATACGTGATGAAGTGTTAAGGTATTAGTCTCTGTAGGGCTTGCAGATCGCGAACCTGTGGTTCATGTGCTGGCTGTAGGAGCCGGAGTGTGAGAACTTCTTGAGACACTTGCAGCATTGGAACGGTTTCTCACCGGTGTGCAACCGCTTGTGTTCAGTCAGGTGGTGCTTATGCTTGAAAGCCTTAGGACATTCCAAGCATTTGTAGGGTCGCTGGCCTAAAATAAGATATATTCATTAGAATCTTAACTAGAGTAGATTACAGAGAATTTTTAAATAAAATTAAAATAAGGAAAACCAACCTGAGTGCTCGTATTTATGCCTCGCGAGAGAACTTTGCTTGACAAAAGTTTTATCACATTGATCACAAACGAATTGTCCTTCTCCCTCTTTCAAATCGTTTCCAGCCTTTATTTTGCTCTTTTTAAGTACAGTGGTTTCATCTTCTAATTCGATTTGAGTCTGGAGATCCTCGTTCCATATTGGGCGGTCGTAAGACGGACTGGATTCTTGCCTCTCGGGCACTTGCATGTTGAGAATTGGAGATCGTCCGTTACTCAGGTCGTTGTAATGAAGAAGTTTGTCCATCGGCATCATAGGATTGATGGGCATTTTCTGTTGCAACATTCTTTTGTAACCGTTCATAGTTTCACCGGGTGAGGGTGATAACCGAAAATCCGTGAACGATGATGACGAGCAGTTGGAATGTGGATACGTGTTGACGTAGTTAGCGCGATGTGGGGTCGTGCTGCGAGAAGATTTCTGACTTAAGTTAACAGCTTCCTCGGAATCGGAATGTGTTACTGAAATGCTGCAAGTCGGTGACGGTGACGGGCTTGAAGTAACAGATGCATTCGATTTCTTTGTAGATAAATCTAGAGGTTGATCAGATATCGCGACCGCTTGAGTCATCCTACGAACTCTGGCTCTATTATTTTGGAACCAAACTTGTACTACTCGGTTGTCTAAGCCTATCTGCTGGGCGATCTTCTTAAATTCCTCTCGATTTGGTCGAGGATTGATCGAGTAGTGCCTTTTTAACACCGTCTGTTGTTCTTCGGTCAGTGCGGTGCGAACTCTGATTTTTCTATCATTTTCGTTTACGGAAGCTTTATCTTCCCGATCCTCTCTCCCAAAGTCCTCGTCTTCACTCGCACTCACCCCACTTTGTATAGATGCTCGCATTTCAGCTTCTAATCTATTCAGAGCCACCGTCTCAGCCACTTGAGCAGCTAGTCCTTCATGTTTTCTAAAAATACTGCCACACGATGCTTTCTCATGTTCCAGTAAATCATTTTTGTCATTGAACAGTATGTTACATTTTAAGCAACGGAAGGTATCAATATCAGGTTCCTCTTTAACATTTATCTGTGTCAATGGTAAAACTTCACCAGGATATTCCTGGCCAGATATAGGGGACTGCTGATCATTGTGTGTCTTAAAATAGTATTTAGTATCGGATGCTTTGACACTATTAAAATCCGATTTATTGATATCTGTCTCACCGGGTTCATTGCTACTTAAGATAGATTCGTAATTACGGGAAGGAGAGCTCGCCTCAGTCTCCCGATCTTCTTGTTCCTTCTTTATAGTAACGTTGTCATCATCGTCTATATCCATCACCAGCTCTGCGCTGGCTTCAGACCGTTTATCTTCCTCATCAACTACCTCCTCGATCAAGTCTTCAGGGTTGGCGGGTGGACTCACAAGCTTTGGACTAGGAATCTCTATTTTTCGTTGTTGATAATGTTGAGAGGCTAGCTGCTCAAATAATTGGCTTAATGAAGTAGGGAAGGTGTAAGGTGCTATACCGTTGGCTGGGCTCATTGGCATGCCAGGAGGCATATAGAAAGGATTTAATCCAGGTTGACCCAACGGCGGTCTCAGGAAATTATTTTCTTGAGATGACATCGACGCGAAAAATGCTGCAGCTTCGTTATATTTCGGTAATATTGGCAAAAACGAATTGCCGTTTGGTGTTATATTATTATTCAACTGACTAGCTGCCATCGCATTCGCACGTTTCCGTGACGGACTCCTGTCCGGATTCAGTGCTGGATTATTTGGCTTTATTCTTCCCATTTTGAGATTCATAACAAGACATTTCTTTGAAGTCATATGAGATGAATACGAGCCGGAATGTGAAAACTTCTTTCCACAGTTAGCGCATTCGAACGGTTTCTCTCCGCTATGTATCCGGAGGTGTTCTTTTAGATGATGTTTGAATTTAAATGCTTTATCGCAGTCATTACATTTATATTTGCGTAACTTCGCGCTGTCATCATGACTTATCATGTGACGCTGAAGTCGGTACACATTTTGAAAACTCTTGTGGCATATTTTGCACGTCTGTTGACAAGGATAAAAATAATATTAATTAATGATTATAAATACAAGTAAGAACTGAATTTTTATTATTTCAAGATCTGTATAATGCTGATATTGTATTTAACAAACTCTGTCATCATTAATAAAGACGATAGATGTGTAAGTATGCCCTATATGAACACTATGCCCTATAGACTACAAGCTATAACTGATATAGTTGAATGTTACAATGGGCACTGACATATTTTATGCTATCCACCTGAGTGCTCGGCGCGTGCAGCGTCTCATGTCGTTCGAGCTGTTCTCGTGTGGGGTAGGCTCCTCGACAGTGGCTGCAGGGAAAGGGTCCGCCGGGGCCCAGGGGCGAAGACCCGCGATCCTCTTCCTCCTCACACGACTTGATCTCGGACCCTCCGCCGGCTAGAGGCCGGACTGTAACCATACGGTTCCGTTACTTACAAACACCCGGTGCCATCACCATAACATTAATCTAATAAACATTATCAGGTCAAATTAAACTAATATTTTCGGATTTTACTTCGCGTTTTATTTTTAATTAGAAACTACATTACCCGAGGTTTCGGCTATTTTTCAGCAACCGTGATCACAGACACTCCCATCTCGTCTGCCCAAAAATATTAGTTTCATTTAAATGAGTACTCGCGAAAATCTTAGATCTCATTATTATCAGGTCATTATAATAATTATTATAACATTAATACGTCAATCCGAAGAAGCAGAAGTAGTAGTTTTAATAAATAGCATTCACAACTTGAAAGATTCAACAACGTGTATAAGTACATCCATGTATGTACATTAAACTTCTAAATCCACAGCAATAAACGTCAGTGAAACGATTAAAAATAAAGCGGTCGTATAAAGAACGCCCTCAAACAATTATCCATATTTATTTGAACACCTTTTATATAAAAACAAACGCGACAATTGAATTCGGTGTCGGTTATTCTGGTAATGCTCGTTTTGCCGCGTAATATCGTTTTTAAAGGTGTCGTCCGGCGTCGGGCGGCCGCGCGTCGTAAATCAAATTATAATAAAGAGCAAAACAACAGTCGCGTATTAATTAGTTGGTTCGTGTGAGTGCTCTTGCTTTATGTAACTCACAACCCAACTCAAGCTAATTTCGACGTAAAAACTTCATTTACCACCTAGGTCAACTAGGTCACCTAGTGGAACTGTTTTTTAATGATCTGTTTTAATAAATCATCATTATCTCTAGTATACCATTTCGTAATAAAATTTATAACATATTCTTAGTTTTTCTGTTTATATCAGAGTTGTTTTCACGTCGTGAAGTCACTCAAATGTGCTGTATAACTTTAAAATTATAAGTATTATCTCAACAAAATAGTGTAGCATTCTTTCGAGATCTCTTTAACCACTCAATACATAAATATATTAAATGTATCGTTAATTCCTTTCTGTGGATGGTCAGCCATCGTCTCTGCTAACCGCTCCCGATATAACGCTATTGAATTTTACAAAATACGACGCCATAAGCCGCACGTTCGAGCACAGCCGCCGTAAATAACGAGTCTATCGCCTCGTTAAATTAGCTTTGGAAGGTTGATCGCACCTGTATGTAGCTTACAGTTATTATACTCGAATAAATAACAACAACCTATGGAAATGACTTTACCATAACTCTGCCTACTTATATGTATTTTAAACTGACAAAAAATCGTTTAATTTTTATTATAATAAAAATTAATAAGACTAAAAGCAATTATTTAAAATAGCTTTGTCATAAAATAGTGCTAACTGAATATTAAAGGAGTGACGTTCAAACACTCATGTTTGGCTACTCGCTAACAGATGGCGCTACTAGTGTCGAGTTTGTCAAGTTTCATTGAGGAAAACAATGTTCAATGGAATTTTAAAGTTGGTTTGTACCTAATTAAAGTCATCTTGTACTAATTTACATGTGTATTGTGACAATCGAGTGATTTCACTCGGATTGTATTGCTTTCAGTTGATTGAGATGTATAAACAAAGCTTTGTGGAGTAATTTGTCGTAAGTCGTGGCAGGAATTAAAACATTTTAATGTAAATGGACATGTTATTTACTTTAAACGTGTAAACTACATTTTAAATTAATATATTTATAAGTTTTCCTACCGCTGAAGAAAATTTTATCCATGAAAATGGATCCTGAATGAGTGATTTACGTTAGTGATAATGATAGAAGAGAAACACATTAAAATCAGTATTTTTATAATCATTAGTTATTGCCTATTTCTTTATAATATTTTTATATTTGTATTTTATTTAGCTAAAACTTCCGTATGTTAATGAATATCAAATTTTATTCATTTAATCTCATATACGTATATATCTGATAGATTACATTTATATTCACCTATAAAATACACTTCATATTTTACTCCACGACTTTGTGTATTTTTTATAACATTTTTCCATACAATAGAAACTAATTAAAATTGACGATTCGCATGTCATTCTATGTTTTTTTCAATAATAACAACACAATGTTGTCCAGATGTTAAAGGTACATTTTAAACAATAGTTTTATATTAAGTGTGAATAAATAAATGAAAAGGACAGAACCTACCATTGTAAGTCATTTAAAAGGATATAGCTTTACGTACTAATCAATCTAAACTGCCTTTCCACATATATATAAGCAATATAATCACCACTAAATTTGATTTCAACAACTTAAACTGAATAAAAACTAAATTAAATGTATAAAACCACGTCGAATTCCACGAGGAATGAATATTAAAGCGCATATAATATTAGTGATGTCCCGTATAACATGTTCAGTACCTTTTACATGAGGTGGAGCGGATGTTACCACCTACACAGAACAACTATCACACTGTAAGCTGCGCCCGAGCGCTGCGTCCGTTGATAAACGCACACACGCACACACACACACACACACACACACACACACACACACACACACACACACACACACACACACACACACACACACACACCTCCTATCTCGATACAATAATTATGACACTCACTAGTGTGTGATAATGATAGCTCATGCTGTATCACGGCCGGTGATTGGTTCCACCTGTCCTCTGTTAAAGGTAGGTCCACCTCTCAAGCCTTATCACTCGTCACTATACATACTTGATACTACGTCTTTACCTTCGACCGTCTCGTCTGGTTATAATATAAATAGTGATTCATTGAACTCGAGTTTTGTGTAAATGATTTAGTTATGATTCAGTCTTAATAATAGTCAACTCTTAATAATATTTATAAATATAATATTTTATGTCACTGCTTTGGAACACTGTGGACCTATGTTATAAATTTTGTTTTGAACCATTTGGTTATGATGCGAATATTGTGAAAATACCGATTAAAATTTTTTTTTTACAAAGATAATCTTTTTACTCCGAATTTATAAATAAAAGCAATTTATGATAAAATTAAATTTCCTAGTGGCGTTTTGCATTTATAATATCCAATAAACAGACAAAATTAAAGTGACTAATCTAAAAAAATACGTATATTATTTTAATTTTGTATTTCGTGTTTATATTAAAACAAAACTTTTTTTCTTAATAGGTACTTGAGAAGCAATGTAATGTCTACGGAAATTATTTTAAAATAATCCTAATTCTATTTCATTAAATTTAAATAAATCCCAATTTAGAAACAGAAATAATTTTGTAATAAATCAACTAAGTCATATAAAGTTTTCTTTTGTTTTTTTCCATAAAACTAACGTCGTTTAACCATAACTGTACCCATACTCCGGGCGTCATCTCATTTAATATGTAATGTTTTTTGTTTATAATGTTATTAGAGAATCATAATTAGTGTTCGTTAATGAAGTCGTTAGCGCCCTGTTCAAACATGTCATTACAACCGAATATATCGCTGTTTGTCCGTGTGTCCGTGACAACGATACACTTAGATGAATATTAATATTAAAAAATTACACTTTTATATAGCAAGAACGAGATCTAAAGTGTTAGCGACTTTGTTTTGAGTTAATCAATTTATCCAGCAAAGTCGAAAAGCTTCGGTAATTATTATAAAAAATATAACGAGTCACGACGAAGTGTGGATACGCGTATGTTGTATATTATATATGTACGAGGGCGACACGTCGTTATTTTAATTCCTAATAACACGAACACCTCGCTCGTTTACAAAACATGTTACATTATAAACTACGCAGTGGCCGATGTTATCTGCTGCGCTCTATAATTGGAATTCATTGAGCAAATAATATCAAAATGACGACCGTCACAGCTTTCAGATCAGGGAAACTATACGCGGCTCAGATAACAGACGGGCGGCAGAAACAGTCGATAACAATATTAATAACAAATGATCACTCCACTCTCCAGACAGGCGGCGCTCAAAGAAGGATAAAGTGAAAAGTAAAAGAAAAAAAAGCAAATGAATTAAAACAACATAATCGTTTACGATTTAAGACGTTTCAAAGAGGCCTTCCCCCACAGAAAACAAACACGCTGTTAAGACTGTGTGTACCTGGGAACGATTCTCAAGTGGATGAATTATATCCCGAGGGAGCGAGGGGCGAGCATCGACACCAGCGTTACCTCTAATGAAGACTTGTTACACTTTTATATTTAATTCACTGAGGCGATATCATCATCACCTGTCTCACTGTAACGGAACTTTGTTTTACGGGGACAGAGTTTATTGCAACTTTTTTTAGGCCGTACATTACAAAACTTTACTTCACTCTATAGAAACGAATTTAAATTCACATCCAATGATACTACGAGAATCGTGTTCGGGAACGAAATGTAGCGGGAAGGGACATAAAAAATATATAAATATGTACATGAAAAAAATAAATAAAAATAAATAAATAAAGCGCAAATAAAGTAAAAAGGAAAGGAAGCTTACTGAAGGCAGCTCGCCGCCTGGCGGAGGTCGTCGAGGTGGGGACCTGCTTACTCCTCATGTCGGCGAGCCAGGGTGTGGAGGAGCGATCAGACCAACGGACTACTCCCATAAGAGAGCTGGGCACTATCATCACCTCACTGACAGACACTGGGCGCGGAGCACTCGGCCTACTCACATCGACAGGCGCCCCACACGTTGGCCAGGCTCCACAGGCGGTACGAGTAGCTGTCACCGTAGCAGCCGAACATGGCATCGGTCCTCGCGACCATGGCCCGCGCTCCGGACGTGCTGGTGGCGGCGCGCACAGCGGCGGAATGACACCGGCCCGCCTCTCGCCCCGCCCTGGCCCGCGCGCCCCCCTCCCGGCCCCGGCCGCCCCGGGCCCGGCGCCTCACGCCCCCACCTATACTTAATTAGTGTACCGAAGACCAAGCCGCTGCCGTGTCTCATTCCCTCCAATTCCTCACCAGCTTCTAATATGATCTCTCTCACCTGATCCACCTCACCTCAAAACTTATAACTAATGTCAATTACGTAAAATACACATTATATTGGCATATTTATTTAAGCAATGCTTACTAATATAACTAATGAGTAAAATTATGTTAATTAAGAAAATGAAAGTACAATTTCGTTTGAATATTTTCTATTATTTTTACATTATAATTATTAGACATCTGAGTGCATTTATTGACACTTCAGCTACGCTTAAAACGTGTCCCACATATTCCACAGACATTAGTACTGCTTCTTGTCGCTAGATGGCACAACGCGTCTGTAAGATGAAAAAATTTTCCCGTGCCCTAATATTTTTATTGTTATTCAGAATCATTTGTACCAGAATCAAAATATTATTGAAGTGTATTGATAACATTAGATATGTAGAAGTTGTATGTACGATATATAAAAATAAATCAATCGGAACACAGTGATGCGTCAGATAAACTTTACAATTAAGATGCATTACGGTATGAAAACAATAAAATACATAACAATAATACAAGTGACGTTTGGACTCAAAAATAATAACTGTATGTGGAGAACGTTTGATGCAGGCAATGATAAACGAATATGTAACTAATGGGTTTTTTTGAAATAAATATTTTGAAGATAAGCATATTGTTATACATTTATAGAATAAAATGTAAAAACATTTAAAAATGAATACATGCGGATAATACGGGAATTGTAAAATAATCTAAAGGTCAAGTTAAAAATAGATATATGCGTGTTTAATAAAAATATATTTTTGTTTGAATGAATGTGTTTCTCTTCTCATGTGAGGAGCGTCAATTCCTCTCGTTTTGTTTTTGGTATTTTATACTGTCCTATCTTATGAGTAATTTCAATTTTATTAACCTTTCATTATAAGCTCGACAATATACGTGTATTTTCTCTCCATTTTTTTGTTCGTAGTATGTATGGGCGTATTGAATATTGGTACATTGTGATGCATTTATTGTAATCGTAAATTATGAAACAAAGCCCACCATCCCGGCGACGCTACCGGCATCCTCACGAAGATTTATTAGAGATATTCAATTTGAAACTTTATGTTTAGGAGTTAGAGTATATATTTCGTTGTTAATGTGAATTGAAATTTATACGTTGTGTAACCTTAAGAGATGAAGACAATACCACCTTGTTCGCACGTGTACCACACGTGTCTCCAACATTCAACACACAACACTTTATAAAAGATACATTCTTTTATTTGCGATACACTTGCAACGCTTTGGAAATAAAATTGACATTTAAAAATCATTTAAATTTAGAAGCATTGTTATTCTTAAGTATTCAAACACATTAGAACATCCCTACTTAATATTATAAATGCGAAAGTAACTCTGTCTGTCTGTCTGTTACGCTTTCACGCCTAAACCAATGAACTGATTTTAATGAAATTTGTTACAGATATAGAGTTGACCTTGAGCAAGAACATAGGATAGTTTTTATCCCAGACTTTTGAAGGCTTCTCTTGAAAACGCGATATAACCGAACTCCACGCGGACGGAAAGCTAGTTATAAATATGACAAAATCCAACTAAATGGAAGATAAAAATAGAATATAAGCAATCAATGTTTGGATATTAATGAATTAATTTGTGTTCGCTTTTAATATTATCCGGAGGGTTTATAAATAGCGTCAGTTGTAATTGACTGTAGTGACATCATCTGTTACAAGGAATGAATCAAATGTGATACTTTGTGTCATGTCTATGATACACAAAGTAAACAAACACACACACTGGGATTGGGATTTAATATATTGATTGAAATTCAATGTAAGAAACTGAACTTATTTAAATGAATACTCGCGAAAGTCTTAGATCTCATTAAGGAAATAAATATTAATCTATTGGAGGCGTAAATCATAGGTTTTTTTCTTGTTTAAATAATTCGTTAAAACTTGTTTTTAATATTAATACTAGACTAAAATTAAAAAATATATATTTATATCTGAATCAATTAAATATAAAGCAACAGACAGTTATAACAAAATTAATGAACGTATTAAATTATCCTCGACAATAATGGAAATGTCATAAATTAGTATAAAAATATATTTCAATATATAGTAAAAAAAAGATTATTGAATGTATAAGTTCTAAGAAGCATCTCTGTCGGATGCTGGTCTCACGACGGACATCTGGTGGACCAAACAACAGGTATACTGTACAGATGGTCACTTATATACACTATTAAATATTTATGATCATTACTTTATACTATATATAAAAATAAATTACTAGCAATTTATTTATAGATTGTTGAGCTCAAAAACCTTTATTTCGTATAATGTACCTGTTATCAATATTGTTAAAGGCTTGTGTTATAAGTTGACGAATTTGATCATCAGTGATGAATGTACTAGACTCTAGAATAACAATATATTGCAAAGAAACTGGTTTATAACGTTTAAGTATTAATAAGTATATTATTTGAATAAATTTTATTGTTCTTATATTATTTATTAATATATCTTATATGAGATCTAAGATTTTCGCGAGTATTCATTCAACTGAAAGTAATATTTTCGGATGTACTACGCGATATTTGTTTTTGACTATAAACTATGTACATACTCTCGACGTTTTGGCTACTTTACAGCAACCGTGATTGTTAGAATACTGTTAGTTACTGTTTTAACTGTGTATTGATTTTATTTTGAACTGTATTGTATGTTTTAAGAAGGATCGTACTCTCTATATCTTAATGTAGGTTAGTAATAGTTTGTAATTAACTCAATCAGGAGGGTTCAGTACTTCTTCTTCTTCCTGGCAATTTCCCAGCTTCAGCCAGGGTCTGCCTTACATGATGTGAATAGTTTTCGCTAATTGTTTTTACGACCAGCCGCCTGCCTGACATCAACCCTCTTTTTGGTTCCGTACTATAATGTACTTTTGTTATAATTTTAAATAGAACTATAATAATTGGCAACTTATCGATATTTTAAAGAATCAATCAATCGATAGGATAAGAGTTCAATGCGTGTAAGTTGCCCGCATGTATGTATACCTATTGTTGTTTTTTTGCGTTTGTAATAATGTGTATATTATGCGGGATTTGATAGAAATGTATGAGAAAAATATTTTTATTTTACACTAGAAGACCTGGCGAACTTCGTATCGCCCTATAATCAAGAAATATCTATTACGTTTTTTTATTTATATTTTTGGAGTTTACCTATAAGCCATAAATCTCCGTGTTTTGAAGTGCGACAGAATGATTGACATATTAGTTAGTTGTCAAATGTAATGTCAAAAAAAACGTTTGTATGTGAAATAGAAAAGGGCTGTTTTTATGGTTTTCCCAGTAATGAATCAATTTTTTTCAGCTTTTATACCTTCCCTGAACCTCCACGAACATTTCAAGACTAAGATGAGATAAATCCGTTCAGCTGTTCTCGAGTTTTAGCGAGACTAAGGAACAGCAATCCATTTTTATATATATAGATTTGAGGTTATTTGACTTAATAATGATTTATATACGTCGTGTTCCGAGCTCAGTATCGTGTTGTTTTAATATACACATGTTTATATACTCAGAGATATCTTTATTAACGAGACTAACAAAAAAAATATGAAACGTCAGTGAATGTTATCAGAGAGGAAACGTATTTAACGATATCGTAGTATTGAGAGATAAGGTGGAGTAAAAATAGTGTAATCTGTTAGGACCGGGGGTTATCACGACACAACCTGCACCCGCGCTTAGTAAATATATAATAATAATATTAAACACGACATTAAAAACATTAAAATCTTAAGTAAATAACTATGTATATATCTTCTGTTTGCGAGTGTTTCTCACCTTAAACAATGTCTTTACACCTCATACATAATGGCCTAACATTTTATAATGACAATCAATAAAGGTATTTTAAACAAAAAGGTATTGTTTTAAATAATGTCACATCCGTCATGTGGCCACCAGGCGTCGGACTAACAGATAGTAATTGTTATAATATTTGCATCGCGACTCTCGTATTCTCTTGTAATAAGATCTATTATTGTATATTATGATTGGGCTGAGACCGTTGCCATATGGTGTCAGGCTGCAATGGAAGTGTCAAAGCTATCGTCTTTGTACTTGAGTTGCGGCCGATGATCGTAAATCTGTTGTTTGTTGATAACAAAAGAAAAACATCTCCTCTCCGTAATGATACGTGTTCAACCTGCTTACATGTGCTCGGAGCATAATACTCTTTGTAATAATAGAAAAACTTAAGAGTTATAACAACTTAGTATATTGACTAGCAGATGATCTCTGTAGATAATAACTAATCCTTTAACACTAGTGTGACAAGGTACAACTTCTTACTGATGTATGGAGTGAATGAGTTAATGATATTAGTGTAAGTAACATTTTAATAAGACATTAAATCTGAGCGGTGTATTAATATGAGTGATGTTGTAGGAGTCGGCTTTGAACCGCTGCCAATCTGAAGCCAATTACAATAATTACTTGTAATTAGCTGCTAATTATTGGCTATAGTGTTACGATGGGGATGATAACGATGGTATTACATTAACATAGCTTCGATGGTGAACCTTCATCATATACTGATATGGGAAAATAATTGTATTAATACGGACACGAAACTTCGTAGCATTCAATGTATTCACGGTACGTGTGTCGGGTCCATCGTTGTAGAGAGGAGCTTCAACAGTGACTGTGACTTGCGACCCAGGTGTAGGTTTAAAGAGCCCCTATCTAACGCGCGTTAAACGCTCATCTACACTGTCCAAG